ACAGCTGCTACACGTACGTGCACATGCAGCGCCCGCGCGACGCCGACATGTTCGAGGACTTCTGCAAGGACAAACTTCCCGACGACGACATCTACGTGCCGCCGCACCACCAGCCCATCAACCCCGAGGACGAGGACGACGTCGTGCCCGACCAGCATGCCGCTTTCGGTATTCAGAAAGCTACCCAGCGCAGCAGGGAGGCCGCTTGGAAGGATCTGGGGCTCGCCGAGCTCATGGGCAAGGGGCCTGTAATGGGGAAGTCGGGGGGTGCGGGTCGAGCTTCGTATAAGGGACTGCCGCGATGACGAACTGGCTGGCTTGTGTTGTTGGGAGGATGCGGCTTCGTTGGTAATGGGCTAGAGAGGCTTATAGAGGCGTGAGTCTTGGTGGGGAATTGGCGTTTTACGGTGAATCGGCGTAGTAAACATAATCCTTCTTTCTTTCTTTCTTTCTTTAAGACAGTCGCGTATTGACTTCGGATTGCCTTGATATCGTAACTCACACCCTATCTTCTGACCCGGTGATATCGTGCTCCTAATATAAAATGAACCCTATCCTCGATCCCCGACTGGCAAACCGTCCCGAACGCCGTTGCAATGCTAGAACCACCACGCCTAGATTCCCCCATTCGCTCAAAATATCACCCCAGTCTCAGCCTTTCCCCAAATACCCCTCCCTCTCCATAACCTCCGGCGCGAACTTAACCAGAAAAACCGTCCGCCCGGGCCACATCTCGCCCTCCTCCTGCTTACCGACGCTGTGCGCCGTGACGCGCGCCGGGAACGCCGAGCCATCGCACACGCCCTCGACGATACCCGCCACGTACGCCGCGCAGTTGAGCTGGCTCATGTCCTTGGGCACGCTGATGTAGCGATTGACCAGCGGCTCGTTGTCGATGATCATGTACTCGTCAGGCTTGGACGGATCAGACGACTTCTCCAGGCCGTCGGCTGCTCGCCCAAATAGGTGCTGCCACACGTTGATCTTGATGAAGTGCAGGAGTGTGATGATGTTGAGCGGGCGCGTCTGCGAGCGCGGCGGTTCGCGGTATAGGAGGAGGTCGAGGAGCTTGAGGCCGATGGGGTGGCCTTGGGCGTTGAGTCTGGGTCGCATTAGCCACTCGAGCTTGCTTGCCTGCCTGCCTGGTCTCGGATAGCTAATTAGCTAACTTACCGCTTTTCTAGGTCCTGTATACTCTCTATCTTCTTCGAGGCGTATCCTACCATCTCGGAGAAAAGGTAGGCGAAGCTGGAGCCGCTGAGTTCGGCGGCTTTGGTGCGGTTTAGCGGTCGGTGGTAGATTGTCTTGCCGCTCGTCGGGTACCGTAGGCCCGGTTGGTCTTTACTGCTGCCCTTTATGGGCTGGAGATTTGACATTACTCTTGTCTAGCTAGTGCGTTCGTGTACGTCAGGGCATGCGATCTGGGTTTATGTATTGGGGTATACCGTCTCGGGTAGTCTATCATGTATTGTCGCTTCTCCGCGAATAGTTGCTGATCTGGATGCTGGTCTGGAAGTTGGAAGTTCTTGGGGTAGGTTTAATGTTGCAGATGTGGAGCTCTTAATTCAAGTCAGCAGTACATAAATGTCCATGTACCTTTTCTCTGTACTTTATACGTGAAAGGTACATCCCTCAAAGTTACCCGTCTTTCCCAATTACAATAACCGGTACCTACCTAGGTAGCTACCGTACATTCTAACCTCTAACCTCGTATTATTACATGTATGAGATACATAGGCGTCTAGAAAAATGTAATAAATAATCTCCAAACTAGTTTAACCTTTGGGTATAATTCTAGTTAGTCGGACAGATAGATCCATTGCATTATAAGTAGGTAGTTAGGTTATAAGATGATCAGCCGGCATTCATATTTTATCACGAGGTTCCTAAAGTCCGTCTTGATAGGTACATATGGGCAATTATATACATCATATCCTCGTGATTTCAATCTTAGCCCTTTCGAATACTTTGTGACTGACCATGCCTCCATTCTTTAGCTCTTCATCTGTCACTGTCGGTGGAAACAAAGTCATCCGAGCGTACGTCCCTGCGCCTCTCCTTTTCGAGAGGTACCCTGGGTTGATGATTACAACACTCTCCACGACCTAGCACATGTTAGTAAGTATGTCTGATAAACAAAGAGTTACAGTATATACGTACCCTTGCAAACGGAGGCAAAGCACTCGGAATGATCATAATATCAGGCCTCACCGTCACCATCTCTCCCAACTTTAAATAGCTCGTGTCAAGCATGGCACCAGGTGGAAGTCCATCTGCCGTTCCGACCTTGGGCAGCTTCTGCCGGTCTACTGGGGGGAATATAGGGAAATAATGTCTTTGCTCAATCAAGTATTTAGGAGCTCTCGAGAACAAGTGGTTGTCTGGAGGTCGGCTACCGACAAGTTCCTCGTGCTGCAGGCCCCAAAGGATATCCTGGGACGAAATTCCGAGTACCATCTCATTAATGGATAAAGTCATAGGATTGCCGATTATACGTGCGACCTTAGGTAGTCCTAATTCTTTTTTAGGGAAGGGATCTTGGGGCCAGGATACATGTTTCTCGATAACGTCGCGCACGGACGGTACCAACAGAATGGTGATGGTCGGGTTTGATGCAACAAGTCGGTTCAGGGCTGGGGAAATCATGTACTTAAAAACTGTAGACATTGTTGCGGCATCTTGATCTACAGCCGCATCTTCTGGGAGATCGAAGTCGCCCGTGGCAATCAGAGGGTGGTCGACGTCGATAAACGGTCCTGTTAAGATGAGGGCGTCGGCATACGTGTCTGCCGCTTGGCTGCAGAGGGCGTGAAGCGGCTCGAAGTCGAGGTTGTCATCAGCTGAATAGGGACCTGAGCCGAATATTATATTTAACGGTGTCGGCTCGTCGTCTGAGTCCATTGCGTCTGGGCCACCCCGAAGTTTCTCCCGGTGAAGCTCGATACCGGCCGGCGTAGATGCAGCGCTGGGTAATAGGGGCATTTCCAGTACTTCCTGGACAAGGAATTCATTCCCGGACGAGTTGATACCCCTGAATGCGACGATCTGTCCCGGGAAAAACTGATAGCGACCATTAAGCTTTTGTAAGTTCAGGGGGATTCTTCGACCTCCTCCGGTCCGCCTCGAAGTCTCTAAAACAAGAGATGCTGCATTAAGCTTGCCTTCTGAAGAATCAGACGCAATTCGGCCTACAGCAACGATTTCCGTGGTACTTTGACTGGCCGCACTGCCGAATTCGCTCTCGTCTATGTCTTTATGATCTCTTATTAATCCTAGAAATTCGTCTATCCGGTCGTCTAAAATCTCAGATGCTTCTGAGGATTTCATAGCGAGCGTTTTGTAACCTAGTTTTTTCATGTCTGAAGCTGCGGTTAATTTGATCCGCGATTCTGAATGCGGTGCAATTGGAGGCTCAGGGGGTTTAAGATGGTTATTGAGGACCTCTATCACCTCCCCTGGGTTTTGGCGGTCATTAAAGGAAGTTGCTCTGCAAATTCTTAGTCTTCGTTATATAGATATTATATTCTGATAGTGACTTACGAGTTAACATTTAGAGACTCCAATTCCCGAGCCATCGAAGGGGTATCGGGCTGATTTCGTCTCTTAGAGGCATTCTTGGAGGCGCTCTTGTTCAACTTTGCCGTAGCTGGAGTACTGGGGACCATTCCTTCCAACATCCCGTAGACATCCCCGCTACCCTTAACATTGCTGCGCGGTGTCCCAGTCGAGCGCTTCTCCGTCTTGATATGGACCTGATGCGTTCGATTGCTTCGCTCCAAGGCATCTTGGATGTCTTGTTTGAGGGCCCGCAGACTTTCCACGGACAGATTGTTCCCGTCCATGTCCATTTTTATGCAGTATGATTCCCACTTGAAAAATAAGTCCTGAACAGACAGGGAATGTATCCGCATGATGGATCGCAGCTCGGAGACGACATCGGGCTGTAGTTCCTTGTTCGGTGCACCGAACTGCTCGTTCAGCTCTACTAAGTCTGCCTCTGCCATGGTCAATTGGGTATGATCTTGATTTGTGCTGTGCTGTTGAATGCCAAACAACGAAAATTCTTGCCACAGTCTCGCCTTATAATTTACTGATTTAAAACTCGACGACGCGCTTTTTCCAACTTAGACGCGTCTTAAGCTAAGTATTCGCGTTAAGTGGTTTATCGGTTTATCGGTTTATTGGTGGCCTGTGGATCCCATTACTTAGGTACAACTACAATACGTTTATGTAAGGGTGGTAGGTGCAGACAATCTCAAAGTTACATACCCCCTGTTTTTAATTTTTTGTGGAAATTCCCCTTTTAGGTACGCTTAGGGGCCTTTCACCTTCGGGTTCAACTACATATGTATACTACATACCTACCTATCTATACTATACTGTGTCCTCGATTGCAAGTGAGGCATAGATACATCACTTATTAGATCTAATTGGCAGTCTTCTATACTATTCTTAAGGTGGAACACTTTCTTTCCAAAGAGGAATGCGTATGTGTATCTTGCTCGTAATGGAGGACATAAAAGCTTCATATACTATTTCGACACACGGCGTATGGCAAGACTATGCAGACGACAAGCAGCCAATAAGGCTATCCAAACGTCTGCTTCGAAATATTCAGCAATAATTTGTAAACGCCCGCCAAGATATTGTAGGACTTCAAGTAACCTAATTGAACTCCAATCACCGCATTTTGATTCCGGAGAACTCTTAATCCCGTTCGAAGAATAACCAAAATTTACAGTTAAATAGCAGATACGTCCTATTTTCATTACGCAATCTAAGGACAGAACATTGTTATTCCGAATTGGCCTCGAAATGTCCTTGTTATATTGCGGTTATTTGAAGCAGAAACTAGACAGATACCCATTACAATTGAGGAATTATGGGGCGCGGTTCTAGACCAATTCATTTACCAAGCTGCTGTGGCATTCCTTTGTTAGACGATATACATACACTCCGGTCGTCTTCCACGTCATAGATGCGCATCGTGTGATCAAGAGTAGTAGGATATGTATTGTATATAGATAGAGTTTTAGGTAGATAGTCCTGGCACACCTACTGGACGTAAACGAATTTATCGTCATAAACACCCTGAATAAGTCCGACGATTTATTGCTGTCTTACTGCCGTTGAGGTGGTTCGTTATTCTGCTCTATCATAGACGTGCTATGATTGGTGATTTCCTAGTCCTAGCAAGAAAGGGTAGAAAATTGTGGGTTAAAAAGCAATATCAGGAGGCGGTGTCCCGATTGAATGTAGCTTTACATACATAGGTACCTGAGCTTAAGTGCTTAAATGCTCTAACATGGGAATTATTAGCTTGGCTTAAAGCACAAGCCACCAGTAACTCACCAACTCACTTAACACGAATAACTTTTACGTGGATAAGTTAGAAAAGCGCGTTATCGAGTCTTGGATTAAGTAGAAATTGGTATTATCAATATTGCAGATCAAAATGTCTACGTCTAACACAGCAACGGCTCCTGGAAGTGCAGAGCTTTCGGTCCTCGAAGAGAAGAACGAGGCTGGCATACTTAGGACGCCACTTTCGGCTCCCACATCAAGTAGCACCGTACCTGAGAAGCCGGCTCTTACTGCCGACCAGACAACCAAGTATGACTGGCTTCTAAGCCAGGTGAAGGGATGGACGGAAGTTCAATCCAAAGAGAAGAGCGGCCCCTTGACTGAGGGCGAGAAGATGTGGCTCACGAGGGAGTGTCTACTAAGATACCTGAGAGCTACCAAGTGGCATGAAAAGGACGCAGAGAAGCGTTTGCAAGAAACTCTGGCCTGGAGGAGAGAATACGGAGTCGAGGAATTAACCGCAGACCACATCGGGCCTGAGAATGCTACTGGAAAGCAAATTTTGCTTGGTTACGACAAGCATTGCCGCCCTTGTCATTACCTAAACCCAGGGCGCCAGAATACCGAGGTCTCGCCTCGACAAGTCCAACATCTAGTTTTCATGCTCGAGCGGGTCATAGACCTCATGCCGGCTCAGCAGGAAACCCTTAGTCTCCTCATCAACTTCAAGTCAGGCAAGAGCCGTACAAACACTGCTCCTGGCATCGGCCAAGGCCGCGAGGTCCTGGGCATCCTCCAGACGCATTATCCCGAGCGGCTCGGACGGGCCATGATTATCAACAGTAAGTAATCTTACGGTAATAGACTAGCTATATTATACTACATGAGCTAATGCGAGAATCATAGTCCCTTGGGTTGTAAACGGCTTCTTCAAGCTTATTACGCCGTTCATTGATCCGTTGACGAGGGAGAAATTGAAGTTCAACGAGGATATGACGCAGTACGTCCCGAAGGATCAACTGTGGGCGGAATACCCAGGTGGCGAGCTGCAATTCGAATACACCCACGATGTCTACTGGCCTGCGCTGCAGAGGCTTTGTGCCGAGAAGCGGGCGGAGCAGGTACAGAGGTGGGAAGCTGGGGGCAAGCAGATCGGAGAGAAGGAGGACTACCTTAAAGGCCATGACGCCCAAGGAGTGTCGCCGCCCCCTGGCTATTCTACCGACACCACCCAGGGCAGTACTGCAGCTTAGAAAATCTAGGACATCACAATCCTGTAAGGAACATTGAAGGAAGTAGAGCATAGAGAGGGCGCATTATATATGGATAAATTGGGTATTATAGCTATCGAGTGGGCGATATACTCCTTAGAGTACGTCTAACTCACGTAATTTATTATAAACTAGTATGTGCATACAAGCTGCAAGGCGAAATTAAGTCTGCCCAGACTCTATTCTTCGCCTCTTATCGTTTTCGTAGCGACCTGCGTCCCGTGACGAATCTCTCTTTCTTCGACTACTATCATGTCTCCTAGGCGATCTAGACCTAGACCCAGACCTATTTCTGTGGCGCCTATCTTCTTCTCTCGGGCGATAGCTATCTCTATCCCGGTCTCGTTCCCGTTCGCGGTATCTATCGCCATCACCTCCCCGGTCTGGGTTCCTGAGACCTTCCGGTGCGCCGCGAACGGATTTCCTCTCGCCGATCGGCACTGCGTTAGCTCCTCCAGGACCAGACGCCTCTCTAGCATGGTCGGATTTAAATCTGTCATCGACATTATATCGGTCGAACTCTTTCCCCGGTCTCGTGTCGCGAATATCACCCCATCGGCCCGTATCCTCGGATTTGAGGTCCCTATACTTGGAAGCGCCTTTCTTTCCCAATTTCGTCATATCGCGCATTTGCAGCGCCTTCGGAAGCAACTCGCGGTTCTTGATGTCGTCTGCGAATCGCGAGCCCATGATGTCTCGGTTGGCCAGGCCTTCGGCTTCGGCCTCGTCTTGGTAGAATGCGCCCTTGTGGAAGTACTTCTGCATGTACGTCATCTTTCCCTTCGCATCTTTCTCTTCCTTCTGCTTGCTTAAGAAAGCTTCGTCTTCCGCTTTCCGTTCTTCTTCCGTCAGGTTTCTTCTGCGCTCGACCTCGGCTCTTTCCTTCTCGCGAGCTTCGATGGCCTCGCGCTCTCGTTTGATACGTTTGAGTTCGCGTAGCTTCCATGCGGCATACTCGGCTTCCGGGTCTACATCGTCTTCGGTATCGACGTCTTCTTCCTCGTCTATAACATCGTCCCAGTGCTTTTTCTTGGCCGCGCGTGCCGCCGCAGCTTTGCGCATTTGCTCCTCAACCATTTCGTCCATGGCCTTCTTCTTCTTCGCCTCCTCCTCGGCTAGCTTAGCTACCTCATCTTGCTCCTGGGTGGATTCTTTGCTGCCATTACCATTTCGCTGGCTTTTGGGTACAAACTTGGGTTTCAACATTAGTCGCCGTGGGGCCTCTTCTTCACTACTTTCATCCTCCTCTTCGTCGTAATCCTCGTCACTTCCTTCTTCACTATCCTCTTCGCTTTCACTTTCTTCTGTTACGAACCCTTCCTCGGCAGCCTGGCGGGCAGCTTTCGCGGCCTCGACGCGTCTAGCATTCGATTCTTGCTCTTGTTTTTGGCGCTCGTTGAGATCTACCTTGCTGAGATTACTAATGATTTTGCCTGCACTTGGAACTTTGGGCGGTGGTGCGGTTTTACGCTGGGTCTTTTGTTGTTGCTGGCCAACCTCGGCGTCGCTAGCTTCTGAACCAGATTCAGAGGACGATGATGCGCCCGTCGGCTTACCAGCGCGATAGCGGGATGGTCGCGCGGGATTTGCGGTCATACGTTTCTGTTGCATCGGGGGCGGCATCTTGGAAGAGAGTTAGGAAATGGAAATGAAGATGAGAGTGTTTGGCTTTGATTTCTGTAAGGTATGAGAAAGCTAGAAACGTTATTCAATCTGCAAAGATGGAATGTACATGTAAGTATATGTGGGCCCGCGATAGTCGATTTTATCGATAAGCTGGAGTCTTTTAAGTGGTACTTTCATATTCAAACCCTCCGATTAGCCATTGGCAATAGAATCCGAATCCGAATCGCATTGTTAACCTCTCGCGTCCTATCGTGGGATGGACGAAGTGTCTCACTATGTATTTAAAACCACAAATGATGAATTTCCCCTCCTACACCAATAACGCCCAGAAGGATGGATATTTTACCCAGATCCCCGAAGATCAAAGGATCTCATCTTCTTCTTCTACTTCATGTAAAGGAACCTTGTCTGCCGACGTAGCACCATCACGGGCTTTGTCAAGTTGTGCATCATCCATCTCTTCGTCCAATTCGGATGCCTCGTCTTCTCCATTGACCACCTCTCCTTGAGATTTGCTCTTGTTTGCGGGTATTTGGTTGTTGATCTCGTCCCAGGCTTTACTTCGTGTCTGAATCGTTCGGGCTTGGCCCTTGCTTTTGGCGATCTTCCGTTCTGTCCTCTCCATAATGTTTGCAGCACGATCCTGTACTTTCTCATACCTCCTCCTTGCTTTAGAGCTCATATTCCTACTCTTCGTTGTCTTTTTCGAAACTCCCGCTCCCTGATGTATGGCAAGCACAGAAGGACGATGGTCGACTGATTCGGTGGGAGGTTTGACGTTCTTCAGGGACTTGTCCGTATCGATACTTGGAGAAGTAGCCCGTCTTAAGGCCCGCGAGTGGACGGAGGGAGCTACGTAGAGAATATATTGTTAATTATATGAAATGTGGTCAAAGACAAAACAATAAGAACGAAATTGCATACTCTTCCTCTTTTTTGATATCACGCCTTTGGCCATGACTTCTGCGATTTGTGGGGTTCTGCTAAAGTTTTCTTAACGAAGACGACTCTTTTCAACCATGTATTAGACTCCATCTGCAAGTTATTGGATGTTTTCAAAAAAAAGAAAAAAGTGCCCCGCAGGGTCCGTCTGATAACGACCCGTTCTAAAACCCGATAAGAAGTCTGGGGGAGGGACCTATGCGGCAGCTATAGCCAATCAGAGATTACATTTCTTGCAGTGACTATCCTTCACAGTTTCTCTACAGATACGGCAAAGTACTTTCCTCAATTTATTATATGTGCAAGTACCTACGCCACCAATCCATCCAGCTGTAGGGTCCTTACGTGATTAGCGGGAAGTTTCTCTATTTGGAGACCCACTAAAATAGGTAGGTATGTAGACTGTCACATCAGCCCTGCCTTCAAACCTACCTACATACATAGTGTGTACCTAAGTAGTTCCCGATTTTATCTCCAATAAAAAACACAACTCGTTAATCATCCCGTAACAAACATCGAACAAATGCTTTGAAGATACCTACTTTTCGCATCGCCCTACGTGGATATAAATCTAGCAATGGCCAACTAGAGAGATATGAAAACGTTTTCTCACTGTGATGGCGACTTTCGTTAACAATAAATCACTGCCTTAATACTCCACGGAAGTTATCATCACATGTTCTATCTTCCAACAACAGTCTACAAACTCCAGGATGCGCTCCCACCCTTCTAAGGCACAACTCGACCGCCTTAACAGCGATTATACTTACTACATCCCCGATATTTTACTAGAAAGATTGCAACAACCCAGTGTGCTCGTGCCGTTACTCCTCCTTCTATTCACTATCTTCTACCAGTATCTCCATACTTCACCCTTCTCGCGACCACGGCATCCCGGAGAACTTATCTGGGACTTTATAGTAGCTATAACTCCCGCGACCGTGCTCTATGCTCTCGACGGCTGGCTACACCCACCTATATTCCCGACTCCGGGGTCTATGTCATCGACACAGCCTCGATCGCACGCCACTAAGAGTGAACTTCTTAGACGAATACTTGGAATGGATGGACCAGGTGGCATAATAACATCCGTTGCCGACGCTGGCAGAAGAAGTCTTTCTAGTCTGTCAAATAGCACGCTTATCAAATATAAGACCGACCAACCCCCCGGCCTAGGAAACTACGATAATTCCTGCTTCCAAAACAGCATCCTTCAGGGACTATCGTCGCTAAGGCCATTCCCGTTATATCTTGCAAGGGGCCTCGAACAAGATGGTTCTGATAGCGATGAGGAGTTAGGTTCAGCGAGTTCGTTACGAGACCTCATTTCGAAGTTAACGGGCAATAATTATAATGGGAAGACCCTATGGACGCCGAAGAAGCTAAAATCTCTAGACACTTGGCAACAGCAAGACGCCCAGGAATATTTCTCTAAAATACTAGATGAGGTTGAAAAGGAGATAATGAAAACAGTAAAACCTATTTCCCATTCACCCGGGTTTGAAGCGGCTGGGATAAGAGATGATACCGAGGACAGCCAGCACAGTGATGACAGCGGATATCAGTCACTACCAGTCCTTTCTAAAGCCGGATCGGACGCTAGACTTTTAAGAAATCCACTAGAGGGCCTAGTAGCACAACGAGTAGCATGCGTTCAGTGTGGCTATTCCGATGGGCTTTCCATGACTCCATTCAACTGTCTCACTCTCAATCTCGGACTTGAGCAAACAGAACACGATCTCTATGAGCGACTGGATTCTTACACAGATTTAGAGACAATCGAGGGAGTTGAGTGTGCCAAGTGTACACTACTAAGCTATCGGAAGCTGTTAAAAATCCTTCAGTCTCGTAGAGGAGACGACGCGACCGAGGCTGAATTACGAAAGCTTAATTCCCGATTAGAAGTCGTGGAACTTGCTCTTGAGGAGGACGATTTCCAAGAAACTACCTTGAAGGATAAATGCGAAATACGAAAACGCGTCAGCTCGACTAAGACCAAGCAGGTAGCTATAGCACGCCCACCCCAGAGCCTTGCTATTCATATGAATCGCTCGGTATTTGACGAAAGTACGGGTCATATGTTCAAGAACCTCGCAGCAGTGCGATTCCCTAAGACGCTCGACCTTGGTCCATGGTGCTTAGGGAGTGCCAGTGGACCAGCTAGCCTCATTCAAGGAAGGGTGGATTCTGCAGCCAGTACTTCTGACGATGAAGAGCAATGGGTTACAGATCCGAAGTTATCGATGGTTTCAGGTGATATGAGGCCTTCTAGGATTAGTGGTCCACTTTATGAGCTACGCGCGGTCATAACTCATCAAGGACGACATGAAAATGGCCATTACGTTTGTTATCGAAGGCATCCCTGTAAGCCATCGAAACTTGACAACGAAGAATTCGACTCGGGTATTGGAAGTGATAGTACCGCAGGAGATGAAAGTACCCTAGTCGGTGGAGACGACGGCGGGTGTACCGACTCAGATACAGATGCGAAATGGTGGCGCTTAAGTGACGAGAGTGTGTGGGAGGTATCCGAAGAGACTGTCTTGGCACAAGGTGGAGTATTCATGCTTTTCTATGACTGTATCGATCCAAACTCTGTTCTTGTCTCTACAATTCAACATGACATAGAACAGGAGGAATCAGGCAGCGATACATCCATATCTCTCGGAGGCCAGGATGTCGGTAATGTTGCAAAGTCAAGCAATCATGGAGGGTTGGAGGATGAATCTCTGGATAATGGCGAGCAACCTTACGATATACCCTCGACCGAAAAGCTTTCGGGGCTAGATCGGACGAACGATATTATTAGCCCGTTAAGCGATGACAGTCCTAAGGTTGAAACCGATAGTACACTACCATCAGAGACGAGGCCTCTAGGGTCGATTCTTACGCCGCTCCTCAGGGACGGCGAAAGGGCGGATCCCACAATCCCCCTTTATCGGCCTAACAGTTGATGACGAGTGAAAATAATCGGGCTTATCTTAGGCGAGTCTACTGTAATAGCTGAATTACAATCGGCAATGAATGTATCATAATAGCCTGCTTCTTTACATAGCCACGGCGTTCTGGTGGAGTGGATGATGGAAGGGATTACAGGTTTTGTATCTAACTATCATGCAGCGGGTGTGTACTTATTCAGGCGTATGCAGCCTTTGGTAACAACCCCTAGAGGGTTGGTGTCGAGTTTTCTGTAACATAAACAACTCGAACTCGATCGCTCGTTCATGCTTATTAGCACCAATGGGATATAATGTTCCTTCTTATGCTATCAAATAGTAAAGTGATCATCAGAGTACTTAGACACACATATATACATGTATATTTTAGGTACCTATGTAGGTATATCTATCGGGTTTGGTGAAACATGACCAAGCGTATTTAATCCTCACCAAATAAATTATACACACGGTTTATTTACATAAATCCCCAACATCTCCCGGTATTGGTGGTGACCGTTTACCCGTAGTACTTAGTATGATGGTAGGCTTTACCATCCGCGTAATCTATCAGCGAAAAACTGCATAATCGGCAACATCTCGTCTCTGTTCTGAGGCATACCATCGTCATTTTTCCTCCACTTGGCTTCCCGTACATCTACAAACTCCCTCTTCAATAAGTCTATCGCATCATCATCGAGAGTCTCACTTGACCTGCCATGACACGCTAACACCGGCGTCCGAGCCTTCTCTCGCGCGCTCAGCGTCGGTATCGTGCTCGGCGGCAATGGCCCGCCAATCGACACGACGCCTTTAAATACCGCGCCCAGCACAGCCTTGCTCCCTTCAGTCACGTCCACGACTTTCTCGCCTTCGCGGAGTTTTGATGCTAGGCCGAGAGCTAGCGAGCCGCCCTGCCCGAAGCCGAAGAGCAGGATGTCGTTTGTCTCCCAGCCACACCTCTCAACAAGCGTCTCGCGAATCAGTTTTCCCAGCACCAAGCTCTCGGCCTTCGTAAATCCCGGGTCGGGATCCAAGTCCCCGGTCGCCGGCGACAGGGCCAAGTCATCTCCCCAATGGAAATGCCGGGTTGGCTGCGCGGCTTCGGCGGGTGGGAGACCTAGGAGAGACGGGGGGAGGGGAGACACGCCGCGCACGGAGATGGCGAGAACGCCGGGGAGGTTTAGGTTTTTGGCGAAGGTGGCGAAGGAAGCTTCAGAGTCGCCGAGACCATGGAAGAGGATTAGGATGGCGCTGGTGGTTTCCGGGACTTCGGGGAAGATTAGGGATGTGTGTAGGGAGCGGGGGAGGTGCTCAAAGTCTTCTGATTTGGGTATTCTGATCGGCATTTTTATTTGGATGGTTAGGTGGTTGGATTGGACACTTGTGGAGATTATGTTAGCTGGGAGGCCATGGAAGCTGGTAGGGTAATTTATTGGTAGATGCCCGGAAGCCGGTGATGCAGGAAACGTGCAGCGACGTTCTAAACCGGAGCCGGGACCCACCGATACGCGGAATACAGAGGACCTGCTGGTGCGAGATACTTGGGTACATATCCTATGACGTGCAGGTGAAGATGCATGTAATTTACATATGTAAGTGCCTGTTGACTTTTCCAGTAGAAGGCTTTTATTTTCTTACTTCTAAACTTCATAAATCTCTTCACCGGTTCTTGATTTTCAAGAGCATAAAGACATAATATTCGATAAGTCTAATCCTAGGAAGCGCGCTACCACATGGAATGGGTGATGACCCAAATTGGTAGTTCAATCTCCGACTGGCTTGGTACCATCTTCTTAGAACTAACATCCGCACAAACCAGAGGACGGGTGTTAGACACGTGCATATCATGCTGATAATACTATCTTGATTTTACGATTGTTACTAGTAATGCTATGGATATGCTTGCCTTATAGTCTAAAATGGCACTGATTGAAAATTGTTATTTATACGGGGCTATTAGTAGATGTAATTATATAACATTGTCAACCATGGTTGTTGGGCCGAACGAAGGGTCTACCTTTCTATGTGGTGCAAGTTGACGGTTAGCAAGACATCACTATGCATGTATCACAAGTCATTATCGTATCTCTGGTATACAGAGTCTGTAATGCGAAAACACAATATCTAGCACCGGTCCAGGACATAAATTTCCCTAGAAGTGAAAGCGCGACAAACCCTCTTCAATGGCTGGGTGCTAATGGGCCATGGTATGCCGGTAAGGTTTCAAAATACCCATATGGTCTCAACTTTTACTCATCATATTATTATGGCCAGGTCCAAATGTATTCGGGATTTCGTCTGAGCCTCCTCGAAACTGCCATGTCGATAGAGCTGCCTACGTCTCAAGACACGGTTCGAGGTACCCAGACCAAGGAGCTTATGATGGGTGGGTATCGATGTACGAACGGGTTAGTCAAGCTGTTTAATATGTTGTCCTAGTATCAGCTAAAATCTCGTATCCAGTTTCAAACCAGCAACTACACCGCGAGTGGGAGCTTATCATTCCTCTCGAACTGGCGGCCGGTCCTTCAAGACCCCGCATCGCAGATTGCCATGGAAAACCCTACTGGTGTAAAGGAGGCCCTCGATATGGGGTATACACTACGTACAAGGTTTATTATAGTCTTGTGTCGTTGTTCGTATAGTACTTAAGCTGATGACAACAGGTATCCGGGTCTTTACCAAGAGGGAGACGAGTTCATGGTGTGGGCTAACAATTATACTCGGGTCCTCCAGACAGCGTCTATGTTTATTCGCGGCTACTTAGGGGTCGCTGCTTCTCAGAAAGGGAGCATAATCTCGGTGACGTCTCGAGGCTTCCCGGCCGGTGTTGGGGACTCACTCGCTCCCTCGGATATGTGTCCTAATTTCAAAGATTCGGAAGGGGGGAAACACAAGTCAACCTGGGATGAGATTTGGATCCCGCCTGTTCAGAATCGTCTACAGAAGTTGATAAAGGGTGATTTATCTTTGACTGCTGGCGATATCGCCCAGATACCCTATCTATGCGGTTTTGAGAGTCATATTACGGGCCGACTTTCACCCTGGTGCGATGTGTTCACCGATGAAGAGTTGAAGCAATACGAGTACTCTAATGATCTCCGTTACTACTACGGTATTGGTCCAGGTACAGATCTCCCCAAGAAGATGATGACACCTTTCTTGAGTACACTCGTTGGCATCCTGCAAAACGGATCTACTATAGGCGTAGGGGTAAACGGCTCGACTTTCAACCTTCCGAAGCTTCTGGTATCATTCTTGAATGACGGACAGTTAACCGAACTGGTAACCGCAAGCGGCGTTTTCGATAGACAACCCGCGTTGTCTGATACGAAGAGGGACGATAAGAGACTATGGGTAGGGTCGCGGTACGTGTCAATGAGAGGCACAATTGCTTTCGAACGTCTAAGCTGTGCCGTGAAAGGGGATGATGGAACGGGGACTTATCCCTCTAACGGGTTAAACAACATATACCTCCGCATTCGCTTGAATGATGCAGTGTATCCGATCCCTTCTTGCAATAATGGTCCTGGATTATCTTGCAAGTTGAGCGACTATACTAGATATGTTGCGGAAAAGTATGCTGCTGAGGGGGACTGGATTACGAACTGCAATGTCACAGTTACTGAGGACACGCCGGCAACGGTGAAAGGAGCAAGCTTCTTCACGGATATCAGCAAACCGTGGGTTAGGCAGTTAGCTGTTTAAAGCCTAGGATTATTAAAAGTATAATATATCATGTAGATTACTAGGCATATTAGTGTGGTTAGAGTATATTTACCGCCCTTAAGTCTTCCGGTTCAATTACTAAGGGATCAAAATGAGTTGACGTCCTCAAGGAGGCTTAGCAGTACTCGGTATGGCTTTGGTGGTGTTTCGTCTACTTCAGGTACTTCATATGTATACCTACTTCATAAGATAGATACGATAGATGGTCTAGAGGAACACTTATTTATTTAATATAGCACTCAAACAAATAATAATTATTTAAATACATATTTGACTGGCGATGGTATAAGTTGAATGTGAAGCTAGTACTTGATAATTAGGTACATATAGGTACATGCAGTGGGTCTGACAGGTACCACATTTCCTAGGTGCATAGGCCAATCCTACGTACCTAGGTACCTACACAATGTAGCCCCGCTGGTCAGGGTCAAGACAGGTACCTATGTACCTACCTAGGTAACCTAAACTTTAAACCTTAAAACAAACGATTGCCTTAGCAACTTTCGTGTCGCATATCGACGACAACTTCTAGCCTTCGTCGTTACTAGTTACAACAATGGCCTATCACATAGCCGACGAGTAGACCTGATATTTGCGACAGGTATAATCCTACCGAAGCCACGAGAAAAGGTGTTAGACCTTACGAAACCTACGAAACCTACGAAGCCTTCTAGCATGCTATAGCGCCTAATGCGGTAGCTTCTACCAGTAGTCCGCTTCAGTTCCTCCCCCCAATCGAATGTATAGTCGCGATCATGTCCAGTCGGTACGGCGGGTCATACCGCAACGGTAACAGCTACGGTTCCGCCGCGAGGCAAGACGAAGAATATGATCCCTTTGGCGATGGCTACACAAGCGATCGCTTTGGCACTCCTCCTCAGCAGCTGAATCCCCGAAGACCGCCCCTTGAATCCGTTCGGAGTGCTGGTTACAGCCCTTCGGCATCTAGAGCCCAGCGCACCAATGAAACGAACGCCGAGAAACAGATAGGTCAGGTACTTGAGCTCATCAAGTCCGAATGGCCTGCTATGGTCCAGGATGATTGCATACCTGTATCCTTAGCACTCCAGCTGCTAGATAATAGCTCCGTTGGCCGAGCACACGAATATAGAGATTTCAAGAAGACACACCAATACTTGCAGGATTCCCTTAAAAATATTGTACATGAACACCATCAAGGCTTCAATAGTTCTATTGGTACTTTTCATAAGATACAGGGGAGCATACAAACGTCCCAGAAACGTGTACGTGCTCTGAAAGATTCTCTGGCAGCATCAAGAACGAGTCTCTGTGCAACAGATCCAGAACTCAAGAAGTTTTATAAGACGTCGCAGATGTACGATGATGTTCTACAGACATTGAATGAACTGGAGGACTTGCGGACAGTGCCGGACCAGTTGGAGGCTAGAATATCGGAAAAGCGGTTCTTAACTGCTGTCGAAGTCTTGCAAAATGCACTGCGAAAACTGCGGAAGCCAGAACTCGACGACATTGGAGCTTTAACTGACCTGAGAAGCTACCTTGCTAACCAGGAAACTGCTCTGATGGACATCTTAATCGAGGAGCTACATGAGCATCTCTATCTGAAGTCACCCTATTGCCAAGAGCGATGGCACAACTTAGCCAAGAATCAGGGTGCCTACAATGAAAATTATACCGACCCAGGCATTCTTACTCCATTTCATTTAATCTTAGATACGATGGATCTTGACCGCCCGGTAACCGAAGATCCCGCAAAGAACCCTGAAGCGGATACCTTTTACTATATTAGTCTTGTCGTTGAGTCATTAAATAAGCTTGGCCGGTTGGAGAGCGTGGTTGATACCCTGAAACAACGGCTCCCGGTTGAGTTGTTTTCCATCGTAAACGAGACGATAAATGAAGTTGATCAGAGGCACCCTAGCTCTTTAAGAGGCGGCTCAGGCAACGCACAGGGCCTGCACATATATGGCAGCAGAGAGACGCATATGCGCGCCGATGTCATATATGACCTATTATGGACATTGTACGGTAAATTTGAGGCTATTGCCGAGGGGCATAGAGTTTTCCACGAAGCTATCAAGGCGCTCATTCGACGGGAGGGTGCTGGTAACAACAGCTCCCTCCTCGGGAGCTTCAAGGAGCTGTGGAATCTATACCAGAACGAGATACGCTCCCTTTTGCACAATTATGTCACAACAGATGCAGATGTCTACCAATTTAACACCTCCCTTAGGCTGGGTATGATGCTTAATGGTAATAAGGATACATCCAGGGAGCATCTATTCAAGTTCTCCGAGGCGGATCCCAAATCCGTCGAGATGGCTACCGAATACGAGGCCCTGGATGGGATTATACGAGCTGCAGTTCCTGGTCTCACATCCGCGTCCCAAAAGAAACAGGCTTCGGACAAGAAATCATCAGCTGGGAGAGAGTCGAGGAAGAGTGCATATACTGGAGCTTTTGATAATAGAAATGCACCTGGCTCCTATAAATCGCTTGTGGAGCCAAGTGTATTTAACATGAGTCTTCTGTTACCGCCGACTCTAATATTCCTGCAACGCTTGAAAGTCATCGTCCCCCCAGGGTCGGACTTGGCTGCAAGCACTCTAACATCCTTCCTTGATAATTTCCTGGTTAATGTTTTCCAGCCTCAGTTGGATGAAACGCTTAGCAAATTGAGTGATACAGTATTTGGAGAAGTAGATTCGTTCCAGCAGGACCCGGCCTGGGGCTTGGTTGCGCGTCGTCCGGTCTTCAAGGGAACAACGGCATTTTTTGCTGTTATTACTGCTTTCTGTCGAATGCTTGGGACGATTCCTCATGACCAGGCGCTGAGCTCTTTAATTATCTCCCAAATGGCTAGATACTATGATAGATGCCTTGCGTGGTTTAAATCACTCGTCGCCAAAGCGCAGGAAGCCACTACGATCCCACAAGCGTTGCGATACTCTGCAGAATTGGCTACTAGGAACGGAGATATACAAGAGACGGTCAAAAAGCTTTGGACTTCGGGCAATCTCGACCATGCGTTGATTGAAAAGGAAGTTGGACTACTTATTATGCACGCCAATGAACGATCTCTTGAACCAAGCGATATCATACAAGACCGCGATATAATCTCATCTCTGTGTCTCCTATACACTAGCATGAAATGGCTCTCGGTAAAGATTGTTGGCCTGCGACATATTACTAGATTCGACACGGATTCTTCTCAGCCCACTCTGCCGAAGAACCAGAATCGCCGGTGGACTCTCCTGAACGACCCCAGCAAGACTAATAGTGAGGACCAAGGTCCCATATATCTACCGATGACACAGGAAACTGTCCAGTAAGTTTTTCGAGTCTTCTCACCGTTCTCTGTCGTAGCCACTTGGCTCATTATCTTGCAGGTCATTTGATAATATAGTGTCCTCTTATGAGGAATTCGCTGGTATGGTACTCCTTACGTTGCATATGGAAATCCGATGCCGTATTATCCATTCTCTCAGGGTAGCGCTCTCCCCCGAAACAGCACCATACGTCCTAGGTGAGCAGGAGATTAAAGAACCTGACCAGCCGGTCCTGTCGTTGAATTCCGAACTCGTTGCATACGACGAGACGATCGTGCGCTTCCTCCGCGACAAGGAGATTGCGTTTGTGCGGACAGGCTTGGGCCTGCTAATCAACACATATTTAGTATCCAACGCGCTTGCTACACAGCCTATGAACTTGCGCGGGTGCGAACGGATGCAACTGAACATCCTCGTGCTCCAGCAGAACCTCAAGAACATTGAAGCTGGCGTAGATCTCACGCGTGCGGCAAACTACTATAGCTTATTCCAGGGTGGCCCAGATCAGATCGTTGAAAAGGCTAAGCGCGATAAGGAGCGCGAAGCGAAGGGATCCCCTGTGCCGGAAGCGGAGAGGTTTACTTACGACGAGCTTAAGGCTCTCGTTGAATTATGCTACAGTGAGCAGCTTGCTGATCCGGAGAGGGGTGTCGCCGCTGCTGCCAAGAGGAAGATGGGCGAGAAAGTGTTGGCGCTGAGCGAGTTTATGTGGCAAAGTTAAGATGTTGGCTTACTTGCATTACAATTGGAGAGGGCGTGTTGCAAGCCGGTGTTTTTTTTTTTTTTTTTTTTTTGGGATTGCGATTTATAGTATACTACGATATCGACGGATTTTTTTTTGGGAGCGGAAAATATGTATCGTGTGTGTAGAATTACCTGGCCTGAATGTTCAAAGGCTTGGCGGATTAGGCCAGTACCCTCTCCCTAATGAAGGATGTAGGTAGACAACTTTGGAGATAGCGATATTACACGAAAACTGTACGCAAGGGAGAGTTGCACGACTATTATCTGGCCACGTAATGTGCCTGGCTTTGTTCTCGTTAACCATCACCGATCGTTGAACAACCTTCTCACGTCCAACATATTACGAATGCAGTGTTTTTTTTTATAGGAAGGGAGGAGGGGGTATAGGACTCATACTTTCTTTTTGAGAAATATGGTGGCTTGGAGACTCGTTTCAACCAGGTTAGATGGAGGTGGGATATTTAACCAGGTAACTGGTGTCACGTTAATTGGAAAATTCCGTAATACGAGAAAAACACGAAGATTTCGCAATAAGAGAAATGTAATATTCGTGGCTTCCAACAAGTAGATATTCCTCCTGCGGCTATCGCCAACACCGACTCGCCGAGAGGTGCATCTGCGAAGAACCCCTGATAAGTCGACTGGCTGAGGATCGACGCTGGTTGCGAGATCAAACCTTGGCACTTCCCCCAATGTGGCGGCGCGTATGCAAAGCTTGTCTACTAGGTATTGTATTTGGTTTCTGTTGGTAAAAGCTTGATGTGCCCGGCAGTGTTATTAGATGAATACCATCCGAAGCTAGCTGACCGACTCATATATTTATATATCATTTATATATATCTTTAAACGGTAGAAACGGTAGATAGGTAGCTTAAGTATATTTAACCCCGAGCTAGCAGTAGGTAGCTAGACTAAAGAAACAAAAGGAATACATAGTTTGACAGGGGAAACGCTACACACATTCGCAACAAATGCATTGAAGGGGCACATGTGGACTGTGGACTAGGTTAGGTATTTACGTTCCTGATTTTCTTTTTCTTTGCTGTACGGCGGTAACGGTCAGAGTTAACCGTATCATATCAGATGTACAATCGCCAATAGGAGACAGATCGTTTAGATCATGAGGCGTCGGCTAATCAAACAGACGACGGGACCCTCCTTTTGGCGTTTCCTCAATGTGGCGTTTGACGGAGACCCTGATGCAAAACAATCGCATTCGATTGGTTAAAAAGGGGGAAACAAGAAAGGGAACAGGAATCCTCGATCTCCAATACATACATAGTAAACAGAGGATGGATAAGCAATAAGTTGGCACAACGTTGCCCCCCAATGTGTATGTATGGACCATGACAAAATGACAATAGCGTCGTCAGATCAAATGTCAAATAGGTAAGCGAAGGGATTTACTGGTGTAACGGGTAGGCATAATGAGAAAAGAGGCGATGTTGATGAATGATAGATGCATGTACATAATATATTAATGGATGTATTAATGGCATGGGGTTAGGTGCCTAGGTACTTAATACCTTGACATGAATTAGCCCCGAACATGTTGACAGGCCGGTTAGTTAATTATTACTTTTATGCTTCACCAGGTTCGCTTTCATTCTTCCAACCGTTAAGTGATTCGTTAAGTGATTCCATCCCGGTGGTGAAACTTAAGGCAGTACACGTCGAAATGAGACCCCGTAGTCTAGAACTTCTACGTGGAAGGGCCCAAGCTACGTACACATTCCTTATACCTACCTATGTAGGTAATCAACTGATATGCACCTACCTTTAAACCTCCTGAGGTAACATCTAGAAGTTTCAGCGGCAAGAGCCTCACTCCCTATTATTAATAGCTACGTGTGTTATTTATATCTACCGATATCTTAGCATGCAGGCGTCGTACAATAAAATCAGAACACTATTTATTGTTTAAGCACATAAAAAGAACATGGGGTGGAAGCAGGATAAGTAGGATCGAGACGAACTTGAATTGACCTGCCTCTCCTAGATAACAGGCACAAGTAGGCAAGTAGGCTCAATGGGGGAAGTTAATTTAATACTACCTAATTTGTACCATTTATACCGATCTGTACACGCTGCGTAGCACATGCGTAAAATTCAGGATTGTGGAGCTACATAGTAATCCGTATGGGGTTAGAGGTATACTATTCCTGAATAATTTCGCACTGTAGCTTACACCGCAGTTTTCGTCCGTTTTGCCCAGTTTGCCTACGGTACATACAGTGAGAAATAACTAACCCAAGCACTGCAGCATAACCGTCGCTAATCCCCCCCTTGAATAGGCGCGTCACCCACTGACCATCAATCCCCTTGAAATTCAACATTGGACGAGCCCCCTTCCAAGTTCCAACCTCCATCCCCGGTTCTACATTCACACAGCGTCGCAAACATCGAAGGGGGGGGAAACAACAAAATCATCTCCTTTGCCCTCCATTCATCTACAGAATAATTTCGTTCGTTTTTTACCTTCTAAGTTTCACATCCGGTCTTCGCGGTAACTCTGCGAAAACCCATCAGAGTCACTAAAAGGCAGGACGCGCCAGAGAACCCACACTCCTTCTAGAGATCCACCTCCCAAGTCCCAAAGAGTTACTAGTGATTCAGGATTCGAGGACATTGCAGGTCAAACTCAGCAACATTATCGAGCCAAGCCGCATAAAAAATAATAATAATAACATCCGCGTCGTTATCAATCTCGAGTCAGCCATCGCTTCGTTCCTGTTTTAGCGAATCGATAATTTAAGGAACAAGGGAAAGCTGGACCTGAAATGACAAAGATATTGACGTTTCGATAAAAAAAAAAATAAAAAAAGCCCAGTACCCGCCCATTCTCCACATAGGATCCCGACCAGTCTCGTCTACCTCCTTTTCGTGTTAAAGGGGGAAAAAGAGATAACTATCATTCCCTCCGCTATATGATATACTCCCACATTTACGCGCGCACCTCTATTGCACCAACGTCTGTTCCATTCGGGGTACTATTCTATCTTTATTCAGCCCTACACGGCTACATTTCCAATTGCAATTCCCTTTAGCCGTCGTCGATCTTTCTTGTTTAGCCATAGAAATCGCCAATACGGCTGTTGCGTCGCATACTTCGAAATAGGTTCTCTGCCGGATCGCCTTGCTCCCTCGAGCATCGCTGCTATAGTACATATCCTACAAGGTCCAGTTTTTATTCTTTAGAGACTTGTCAATCTAGAACCGCCCAATATGTCGTAAGTTAGATGCCACATTTCTATCTCGCGCCTGCTAATTATGAACGTCTAGGCTCGGAGGAGCTTTTCGCTCATTCTGGCACACTATGACCAGTTATGATCGACGTGAGTAATCCGATGCAACTGTTAGCTATCGCATCTACTTACTTTTCTTTTAGACTCATCGTACGATTCTCCCTATCGATCCGGTCGCCATGTACCTCTTAATAGACAAGACGCCCTCACATCGGTTGCCACTGCTTCGGAATCTCGAGCTGATATTTCATCCCCGTACATCGACGAACTCGGCCGGTTATCTAGCGGCATGGATGGTACATCATACACAGGCGTCGGTATTCCGGTAGCATCTCCTCTCTCTCCCAACTCTAACGGTCCATACTCTCCTGGTTTACGGTCTCTCAACGCTCAACGCCAAAACAGCAAGGACGATGGATTTGAAACTGTTAGTAGCCCTGGGGAAATTCCGATGCAGTCGTTTGCAAACGGTGCGCCTCCGGCACCTCCGGCGGCTCATTCATGGAGGCGGATAGATAAGTGGGCCGAAGAGAATTATCCAGAATTGTATGATCAGCTATGCGAAGGGTGCACGACCAACGACTTGAACGAACTAGAACACCAGCTAGACTGCTCGCTACCTCCGGATGTTAGAGACTCCTTAGCGGTTCACGATGGGCAGGAACGTGGAGGTAATCCAACTGGAATTATTTTCAGTTCTATGCTTCTTGACTGCGAAGAGATTGTTCAAGAATGGGACCAGTGGCGGAGAGTTAATCAACAGTATCTTCTTGAAACGTCGGTCGCGAAGCCTTCCGTTCCTTCCAAGGCATTCGGCGGCAACAGTCAAGCGTCCTCGTCCAAATCCGCTCCTGGTTCGCCTAGTTCGCAGCATGGATCACAGAAAGAGTCCTGGAGACAAGATCTTCAGGCTCGTCAAGATTGTGTTCCTCCAGGAGCAGTTCAACGAGCCTACGCACACCCTGCTTGGATCCCTCTTGTGCGAGATTGGGGCGGAAACAACCTTGCCGTGGATCTTGCTCCCGGTCCAAATGGTATTTGGGGCCAGATCATTCTCTTCGGTCGGGATTATGACACGAAGTATGTTGTCGCCAGGTCTTGGGGGGCTTTCTTGTCGGTGGTCGCAGACGATCTAAACAGTGGCAAATGGTTTGTTGATGAGGATACTCATGAGCTCAAGCTTCGCGAGTTTAAGTCGACCCGTGTTGAGCCATCTTACTTCGATATCCTGAGATGGAGGATGGACCAGAAGCACGGACGCAGCGCCAAAGTAGCCGCCAAGCGCAGATCACAGATGCTAGGCGTTCCTACTTCTCCTGGAGCTTCTCCTGGAGGTTCACCTTATGTCAATCCAGCGGATGCCGCCGGGGAGCCCCGAGGCCGTACCTTGCAACGTCTAAGTAGCCCATCGCCTCTAGCAAGCCCCAATCGTCCCGGTTTCGGAAAAAGTCCTCTTGCTAGAGTTACAGAGGAAGCATCTAGCTCAGCATCCAAATCAAACGCGAACGGTACTACCCAGCCCAAGCTTGTAGAAGTTGAAACCCCTAGACCTAGCGATGAGACACCTAAGTTTCCGTCGATTATTGAGCCCAAAGGAAAAGATGTGACACCGGAATCCACGAAGACAAACGGCACCACGGAAAGCGACGAGCTGGAAGAAGGGATGAAGACCATTGAGATCTGATATGAAAGTTCGACGACCGACAACGAAATACATTGTAACACGACTACTTAATAGACAGCAAAAGGGAGGCGTTCAAAGGTCAGAACCGATGCAGATCAGCATCGCCACTATTTTCGGCAGAGGTCTCGTTTCTTGCAGCTGCGCGCACAAATCTTCCTGGTTAATATTCATAAGTTGGGCCCATTGATAGAGCGGGATTTGGACATCCCTTCGCAGGACTCGACCAAGATCCTCAACGGCACATAAAGATTTTAATTCAATAGGTGACATGCCACTATTCTTGTACTAATACCATTCGTCTACTTTTATTCAGTTCTGGTCATTCACCCTCCTTGATACTATCAGGGGGCGTGGCCGGATAGCCGGATCTGAGTTCTTCCGTTGATGGAGATGGAGATAGCGAAGCGGCCAGAGATGTTTGTACAGTTGGTTAGCGAACCTGTGACGGTTAGGACTGCATTTCGTCGATGTAGTAGCATTATCGAAGGGGTTTTAGTGTGTAGAGCTACGGCAGGGATTCGAGCTACCGACAATGAATAAGAAGAAGAGGGCGTTCAGGAGGATTCTAGTGTCGAGTTTCTCAGGCGTTGGTGGTAGCACATCGTACTCGGTCAACGTTTCAGGACTCAATATACGACTTTAGCACCCTATGTATAGGGAATGGACGCCTACTCAGAGACACTCGATGAAGGCATGGGAACAGGTACCGTAGAGCTTTTTTTGAGCTTTTATATAAAACTGATTGAGAATGATGGTTCAAATTTCTGTCGTAAATGCTCGCTCGTAATATTCACCTCATTAGCATTATACATATGAGTAAAGTTTACCTAAGGTTAGGTAATTAATCGTAGAAGGCTGTGGTGCTGCTCGACACGGAACCTTACTCCATGGGCCTGCATAAGATGCGCATGCACATAAACAGTACATGCATATGTACGGTATAAAAAGATATATGTCACGTGTCGATGTCACGCAGCTTTGACAATGCCAAGACTCCCATTAGTCGTCATCAGCCTCATCAATCAATCTATCTATCCCCTAAGCTCGGAAACTCCAGCCAGAGCTAACGACTGATTTGTTCCTTTCCATTAAACACCATTACATCCATCTCTCGGCCTTCGATAGGTCTTTTTTGATTTGACAACCCGTTTTCCAAACGCTCGCGACCATGGAGGATGACCGCCTCTTCAAGTTCCGCCGGCCTGCTTGGCTTAACAGCGCCTGGGCGCGCGGCGCGGGCGTGTATTCGGCGGGTGCGCTGGTACGTTGGTGATAATACCCTCCCTCTCTCTCTCCCGTCTCTTGTCATATCACCTTTCCTTTCCTTTCTCTTCCCTATCCGCTACCCTTAGTTCATTCCGCCGCGGCTCGGACTAACCCGCCAACCCTCGCAGTTCTCGCTCGCATTCTACATCCTAATCGACGCGGCGGTATGGTCGAAATCACCACTCAACGGTTCGGACGTGCACGTGACGTTTGTGGACTGGTTGCCGCTGATCTTCAGCTCGCTGGGCATGCTGATCATCAACTCGGTGGAAAAGGCGCGCTTGTCAGCCGACTCGTTCTCGTACAGCGGCTCGGGCGTCGCGTGGAAGGCGCGCGTCGTGCTGTTTCTAGGGTTTGCGGCTCTGGCGGGTGGTATGGCGGGGGGTGTGACTGTGTTCGTGCTTAAGTTTGTCGTGCCGAATGTGGGCTGGCCGATGATGGGGATGGGCGTGGAGAACGTTGTTGCTAATGGGCTTGTGATGCTGAGTTCGGTTGTGCTATGGGTTAGTCAGAATATGGAGGATGAGTATAGCTATAACTTGTCTCTGTGAGGAGGGCGAGCAGTTGAGGGGACCCTGTTGTGAGGGGTTTAGTAGGGAGACTTACGCGAGGAGACCCCGAAGCTCGAGAGGATAGGGTGGTTGCGGTACCAGGATGGATGCCTGGTCACCGGGAAGATTGATCTATTACTTATTGTACAACACAGCAGACGCGGCATCGCGGCATGGGACTGGTCCAGGCGAGGCGAAACTAGGCGTGTAGTAAATTCAGGGTTTGTTTTGTTTAACTTTCTTCACGGGAGTTTCAATATCATATATACTCAAGCGACACTGCTAATGACTTCATGTTTGATCTACTACATAAGCTATTTGTCTTGCTTCACTATTTTTAGAGAAATCGAGTGAGCGGCACGTAGATGTCACTTCTCGCAACGATAAAGGAACACAGTTGGCTTTAGCATCGACGAAATCTTTACCTCTCGTTAACAGTGTCGGCAGGTTTGACATCGCATTGTCCGCCCAGTTAACTTCGATACTCGTAGCCATCTACTAGTAGCTCTATTCCATTTCGAGAGGAACGAGACCAGACACCACTTCCTTAGAAAATAGACCGCTCGTCCAATCGCATGTAAAGCACCAGAACCTAGAGACAATATATCGGTGTGGGTGGTATGAGAGTTTCTTTATTCATTATACTTTACATAGCCGCCACCAAGCGGCATCGCATAGACGGATATATCATGGACTTTTCATGAACGCCATCCCCTTGCACCGTAAGGCTTCGCAATGTTTGCCGACGTCCCTAGGGCCATAACCATGGGTGAAAGCTTAGTAGAAGAAGTGGTGGTGGTAATACAGAGATGCTCTTAGCATACGCCTCATCATGGCATACTAAGAGAGAGGAGATAAAAGTCTATAAAAGAAGATTAGCAACTTTGTGCTAGAGGCCTATATCGAAGGCGGGTAGAAACATACTTGATGATCGACGGACGTGGGTCGCTGCGTGTGTAGCCTGTAATAGTTGTGCGGTCAGATGTTGTCTTTGTAAAGCGTCCGTCATAATCTTATAAATGCTGGTCAAGGCGTACCTAAGTAGAGTATTAGAGGCAAGTAGCCGCTGTAATATGTTAGCATCGTGAACATGGTTAAATCGTGGTCATTAGAGGGGCAGCGCATACTAATGCATTGCGACTCTTCCGATCTCAATAATCTTTCCAATGCGCTCCTTAGATTCTTCCGAAAGGGCGAACATGATGGGCGGTACTATTCGACAAGAAGCGAACCGAGAGAGATCGTAAGGTTGTATAAGAATATGCGGCAGTGGATTTGGCCTCGTTCGTAGTTCTAGTTGATGCGAACGTAAGGAATAAACCTCTTGAGCTTTATGGAGATGTCGTATTTGCTGTTTGAGTGACGATATTTGAGCTCAAAATTCATCTGATAAGCCCGGTGATAAACCGGGCGGGACAAAGAGTGAGTGGGTATCAAGTAAAATCGGGACCAATCAGGGCCAAAGGAAATTAGAAGCCACAGATGGCTGGAGCTATCCCTGCTGTCTCTTTGACAAGCCTGGAAAGCTTCAATGAAGTTTTGGAAGCTTCGATAAGTAAAAGACTCCACAACAACACCCGTTACTTACATGCATACCTAGGTACCTACCTACATACATAGTACAGGTACAATATACGAGTCGCGACATTCTTTTTACAAGATTTCCGCTTAGACTCAACTTCGCGGCGACGCAACATAAAATCTAACATAGAAGTTCACCGAAAAGCGTCGCATCAAGATGTCGGGGGCGAAGCATTGGTACGTTTCTCGCGTTTTACACGCCAATACAACATTCGATTACACCAACTAACTAACTATTGTAACATCAGGGAGCAAGATAAAGAAGCCACCGTCTATGTGGGCAATATCGACGAACGCGCTACCGATGCTCTGATATGGGAGCTGATGGTCCAAGCCGGTCCAGTAGTCAACGTACACCTCCCCAAAGATCGCGTGACGCAATCCCATCAAGGCTTCGGTTTCGTCGAATTCAATGGCGAAGTTGACGCCGACTACGCAGCCAAAATCATGAATGGCATCCGCTTATACGGCAAACTACTACGTGTTAATAAAGCGTCCGCAGACAAGCAGAAGCCCCTGGAGATCGGCGCTGAGCTCTTCATCGGTAACCTCGACTCCATGGTCGACGAGAAGGTTCTCTACGACACTTTCGGTAGATTTGGCACTCTAATCGCCCCTCCTAAGATCGCTCGCGACGACAACGGTTTGAGCAAGGGCTACGGTTTTGTTAGTTATAGCAGTTTCGAGGCTAGTGACGATGCTATCAACAACATGAACGGCCAATTCCTCATGAACAAGGATATCAGTGTGCAGTACGCGTACAAGAAGGATGGTAAAGGCGAGCGCCATGGAGATGAGGCCGAACGAATGCTTGCCGCTCAAGCAAAGAAGCACAACGTTACCATCGAAAGCCAACCTATGCCTCCGGCACTCCTTCAGAACCCTACTTCAGCTCCTCCACCTGCAGCAGTCGTTCCTCCGCCAGCCATGGCTACCGGTGGATTCGACCCTTCCATGGCCGCCGGCATCCCCCCTCCGAGACCACCAGTTGGATTTGCTCCTCCCTCTCATCGTGGCCCTCCTCCGCCATTTGGTATTAATGGTGCGCCCCCGCCACCAGGGGCTGGAAGACCTAATGTTCTACCACCCGCTCCGTCAGGACTACCCGCTCGCCCCCCGCCCTCGCAAGCTGGATATGGCAGTCCGGCAGACTTCCATCCCGGCGGATTCCGGATGCCCCCTCCGGGCTTTGGTCCTCCCCCTGGCGGCGTACCACCGCCACCTCCCGGATTTGCTTCTGCCCCTGGGTTTATTCCTACTGAAGGTCAAAATCCGGGCTACGGCCGGTGAAGCACGAGGTTAGGGCCCTCTTAGATCTGCCCGAGAATGGAACATGGGTCTTGTTCCGTCACCGTTTAGCGATATGTTGCGCATAATCATAATCGGAGCTCTCTATTTCATTGTAAAAAGCCCGCCCAGTAAGTAAAGACATTAAGGAAGCTCCCTTCGGAGGCCTCCGGGCAGCATTACGGCGAGTTTTTCGTCTTCCTCTGTACTAAAGAGATATAATTGCATTATCCGTTGGTTAGTGCGCACGAGCAGACGGTGATAATAGAAACACAGCCGGAGGAAAGCATATGCCATTTAGACGTTGGTTGGAGCGACATTATTCACACGAGAGCTGGGTTGGTCGTCGGCACGAGAACCCTCGTCTATCAATAAAATGGCTTGGGGATTACTTAGACAAGTATGGGGAAAGCCAAGCAGGGGCAAGTTTACAACTGCTTCTTGCAATTTGAGGTCATCGCTAACTGGTGGTAATAGCAGGAGGCAGTAATCAATAGACGAATTATGTAAACTATGAAAAATATGTAATTGCGCGTACATTGTTATATTAGCCGTTATATATTTAACTTGGCGTACCCTCTGATCTCGTTAATACCAGTATCTCGAGGTCATATTGGGTATTATATCAGCTTACTATATTGTTGAGGTTTAATAGAAAATCTTTAGAAAAGCGCCATCGTCTTTTAAAGACATGATATAACACCCGTTTACATACCCGCAACGGTACTCCCCTTAAAACAACAGTAGTGTGTTTATGCCTCTCTTCGTATGTTACAAGATTTGGCAGGTTACAATAGCGATATAAATTGATCTATTTAAAATAAAGAGCACAAAGATAAAATCATATATGTCCAACATCATTAAGCACGCCCGCCCAGGTATATATAAATATTTATCATTGTCATAAATCGTATATTCATTTCAAAATAATGAAGGCTTACCTTTCTCCCACTATAAGTCTACCTCGCCCCCTCTTTATTACCGAGTTCCAATAGCCTTCAAATGAAGCGCCTCACAGTATCCACAAGCCTCTCCATCTTGGAGGCGATCATCTCTTAGATTCCTACCCTTCGCAAGATAACACATGTATTAAATATAAAACGCGGTACCATAGCGTAGCGAAGCATCCAGCACTAGCCCGCCGCTTGTAAAAAGACGACAGTCTTGTTCTTCCGTACAACTAGACCGAGTAACTTCACAGTCATCTGAAAGGTCTTTGGTCGATTGGCTTCAAGATATCGATTCGAACGCATTTATTTCGAATTTACCAGATTTGGATCTATCAAATATACCTGATCCGAAACCATTTGATCCGAAGCTATAACCGCTAAGTTAATGGTCATTGGATATACCTTACGACCCAGACTAAGGCTCAGATCCTAGTACGGCGAACCCAACGCCCGAAACATTGCCTTCGCCGGCTTCTGTCTATAGAGTTGATCATAAATTATATGCGCAATCCTATCTATATCCAAGCTTTACGCAGAGGTGTAGTAGAAAGGAGCTTCTAGAATAGATCAAAAGGGCTGTTGGCGGACTGGTCGTGCCTATCGATAATATTATATCACAAAAGGAGAGAGGAACAAGGTGTCTGGTACGCAGGAAGATCAAATACAGACTATGACAATAAATTTTCTGCAACTAGATTCATTTAAAGATGCATCGTACATATAATCAAAATCCCAATTGGGGCTGCTATAAGGACTATATAACATAGGGACCACGTCGTCCGCCAAAGCCCACGTCCGTCATGGTTTCCTACTACTCCGAAAACCGAATTGGTATTTGGATACGGTTTTTCTAAAACCCCTTGGTCAAGTCCAAGGAAGGATTGTTATCAGCGTGCGTTCAGCAGACAGTCTGTTAAAATTCTACATCATGTGGACGGAACCAGGCATTCCTGGTCGATCTAGCATAGACGATGGACCTCTCGGATATACCGCGTACAATTGATTCGTACACTTTAAGTCCTTTAGTATGTATAAGCAGGATCAATATAAACGCAGTCTTATGCTATTTGGCGATATCTAGAAATGGGGGAGGAGGGGGGCGAAGCTAAAAGAGCCGTAAGTGTTATCGCTTGATAAATCCCAGTCTTAAGCAAGTATCTTCAAAGATAGCTTCAAGGATATATGAAGTACGTATCTCGTCCGCCTAGTATAGCTTCGTGAATGTCAACGGGCATTGGGTAGCCAGCCCACGTGCTATATTTGCTCGAGTGTATAACGTGCAGGTTACCCTAAGCAATCAGAATGCAGGTATGTGGCACTCGCATCCGGCGACCTGGCATAAGGGAAGCGGTGGGTTTGTCTCGTAGATCTCCAGGGGGTAATCTATCAGCCAATAGACGCTCTACGATGTCGGAATCTATATAGCATACAGAGGCATCTAACTCTCACCTAGTTGTTTTGATTGCCTTATCGGTACGTAAAAGTATGCAGGCGGTTACTATGAGATTTACTCCAATAGCAACGATCGATTTCACCGCTATTTTGAAGAAGGAAAGAAAGAGAAAGAAATATATGCAAGCCTTTTTATCTATCTTCATTCGCACAACATATGTTTCTTAAGCCAATCGAGAAGGATGGCTGGGAGGAGGGGCCTAAGAGGCTTTACCTACATGCAAGGACCGTATATCCATATCAGTGGCGGTATAAACCATGCAAGCGGCCTATTGCTCTCCGGCTCGAGGCGTGGGGACGTCAAGGGGACGCATACGCGTATGATCTTAGCGTAGACACTAGATCTGTATAGACATACTCTTAAGCCATGATCTTCGGGTGACGCTATAAGCTTTGACCAAGCCTCATTTTTTCGACTTTGTAGACTTCAGCCTCACTAGTAATCCTTAACCAGAAACCAGATAGCAACCAAGCTGAAATCCTCGTAAGTCCTTGTACTCTACTAGTGTAGTGTATTATCTAGTGCTCAGCTACCCATCTCCTTCGTATTGCCCTTTTCTCTTTTCGAATTTGACAAGATTAAGGAGCTTCGGTTTTGATCTTCATGAGACTGAAAACTCGATAGTGTTAGCCGAGAAAGAGGCTTTGCTGGTAAGTTTCAGTTAGAATCATAATTAACGAGAACATGCTGCTACGAATTAGGTATTTGATCATGGGCGAAAAGTATTTGGCTCAACACGAATATATTTAAGTAGGTATATATATATATAATAACCCTGTAGCTCTTATGTGACTTGTTAATGAATTGTGAGAACCTTGTCGAATGGTCATCCTCTTCAGTACATACCCCCATATATGGCCCCGACTCTCAACAGCGTGCTTACGAGTTACACACGCCGGGGGTTAGGAGAACCCACCGAAGCAGCCAAGTCTCGAGTAGACTTGCTCTCTTAACAACGGCAGGCTAATCCTTGTTTTACTGAGCACACCTAGTCCTTAGCTGTCCCCTATAGCCCCCCAACCCGTCAGCCGTCGTGAACTAGACTAGCGACAAATGGTTTAGATAAACGACTGGGCAGCTAGAGCTAAGCGTTGCTGACACCGGCAATATTGGATTCTAGGCTTATGGATCACGACAACCAATGTAGGAAGAACGCAATGTGATGCATTAGGGCTGCATTTATCACTCGGATATGAAGCGGACGGAGAGGGATAATTTTGCCACCGCCCCCCGTTACGGGCCTTCCCTTCAGCTTGCACAGACCGGTCAATTTCTATAGAGCCTATCCTTACCTCATGTATGTATATATTACTCGAAGTGTTTCTTGGTACGGTGCTTCATGCAGATTTACGAAAGGGATTTCCGTCCAATGGGCGTGTTAGGGGGCATTGCCTTGCGGACAGAAATCTCCTCCCTAAGCCCTCATCCAGCTACAGGTCGGGTGACACAGCATTTTGGGCGTGCCAGCCGCATATAGAGAGGGGGAACATTTTCACCCAACCATTTATTCCTAGCCTGGACGAAGATAGCAAAAGGGCAACGATGGATGAGTCCGTGAATCGCTAGCTAGAGCAAAGCATAGCACATATGTACCTATGTATGTACCTATATACTGGGGCCAAAGTGATAGATGAGCGATCTGTAAACCCAACTTGCAACGTCGCCATCTGTCAAAGATCCTGCGCTGCAAGATCATGTTACTCCACAGGGGCCTCTTGACGTACCTAGGTTAGATGGATGGGTTCAACAACGAACTGCTTCTTGTCTGGGGAAGATCGAAGAGAGGAGAGGGAGACACTGTGTTGCAGCAGCGGTTGCAGCAGCGGTTCCCTGTGCTCGCTTGTTCTGGATATTGCGTACCGTATGCAGCAGAGCAGATCTTGGGCCCAAAAAAACCCCATGTATATACCTCTGTTGTAAATGCGGTGTGGTGTCCGCACCGGATGAAGACAAACCACCGCTGGCGGCGAGGACGCGACCAACCCGCCCCCTTCCCCACGGTGGCTCTTGTGGCGCTACGGGAGAAAATATCTCCTGCAGGTGATGCCGGGGAACTTTCGAGGTGCTTCCGTCGGCGCGGACTACGGTGGCCGTAGATATGGGCGCTGCCGTATGTAGTAAGTGGGTGTGCGCGTGTCTACCGTTATGACTCGGACAAGGGCTAAGCTAAGTCTTTTCCCCTAGGAGGGTAAAAGGATCTAGAAGTACCATGCCCTTTCCTTTCATCGCAGGGCTGAAGACAAGACCTCGAAACAACGACGACTAGGGAAAGACATTGGACCCTGTGGCAACGCAACGCAACGCAACGCAATGTACAACGACAGACCGATTTACTTGGAGAATGAGTATGATAAGGGGCTGAAAACTGGACCCTTTTTACTCCTATAATCCACCAACCCGCGAGTGCAACCTCGGTAGTTGTGTAAGGCACCTGGAACCCTATGGGAATGTCTCGGTTCTTTTGCGCCATGGTTTTTAGATTAGCTGCTGTGGCCGTCCATCTTAGACACACTATGTAGGTAGGTATGTTGAGCTCTGTAGTGTATACCCGCTCAAATCACCAGTATAGATGTTTCAGACTCCAGAATGCAACCCCGCCTACATCGCCGACCAAACGGACGTTACATATGTGTGTCTCTTGTTCGAGATCCCCTTGTCTACCTCGTACGAGTTGTCGAGGGAATATACTTGCTCAAGGTAGTCGTAGCAACACGCTGCAGAGGCGACGTTCTAGACTGTCTTGACCGGTAGAACACACATTCGCCTATGGTAACTGGTATCTCACATAGGAACTATCTCGGCTTGATTTAACATGTAAAAGGTTATTATGTAGACAACGTCGCTTTCCATTCGGCTCGACTCACCCTAAAGACCCCGGTAGGTTTCGGGCCTTTCTCGATATTCGCCTTCTGTTACTTAATGCCTAATGAAGGCCAAGACGAAGGGTCTACGAGGTGTATATTGCCCCGGCATTTGGAAGGGTAATCGAAGGGTTCGTTACATGATCTCAAAGCGGCTCAACCCACAAATCGTTTCATACCAGGGCTACAACACTCGATGGGAGATCCTCTGGCCAGGCCCCCCGGATCGTCTTTTTTTCTTCTCTCTTCTACTACATACTACCTACATAATACAGTTCGTATTTGCGGCGACGTCCGTAGGACAGTTACCTAGTTCTGCGGCTTGGTTACGAATATACCTTAATATTATGTACAGCACCCACGTTAGAAAATGACAAATGATAAACGCTTGTTCGGAAAAGGCAGCGAACGCCGTATAATAAAACAGAGCTTGGTAAGCTAGTCAGGGTCTTGTTTCTCTCCCTTGAATGCGGTGGCTAAACCTGGAGGGCTCATAGCCGTAAGAAGAAGAAGAAGGGGGGCGGTAGGATTGGGTAGTACCTGTACAAAAAAGTGTGCGACCGGGGGTTCAACGTTTTGTTGGCGCCTAAGACGCCTAAGACGCCTAAGAATGATATATGATAGATCTTCGGATAGCCGTAAGTTCCGACCTGGTTCTGAGAAATACGCAGACACATAGGTACACCTAATCTCTGGCAGTTTGTGGTTCTTGGCAGGGGGAGTTCGCTGCACCTAAGGAAAAGATTACATAGTATGGGCAATTGGGAAATTCCCGTGATTGACGCTGGTGGAGCGGAAACGACGTGACCGCGGAGGAACCAGATGGATCTCGCCGCGGGAAATCTGTCCTTGACTCGGACGAGTCGGACGATATTAAGTAAGGATATTAAGTAACTAAGGAGCGTTTCAACTTTAGTTTCTAGAGTCTTTCAAGGGTCTTGAAAGGCTGTTGAAAGTATTACAGACCCGTATTCGCCGTATCGTATTTTATGAGATAGGTTCGGTCAAAGATGTTGCGCAACGTTTATTTCCGTACGTCTCGCCCGAAAGGCCGGAAGCGGTAACGATGGCGGGCGTCAATAGTCATTTTCTTTTCCGCAAAGACGGTATCTTGAGAAGAAAAAAGAGAAACAAAAAAGAGGGTGCCAGTTCGGAGGCGCAGATCCCTGATAGTACCCGATGATCCAGTAACTTGGTTGACAGATTGGCATTTGTTCTAGGTAGGTAGGTATGTATGTAGTGCATGTATGTGACGTATCATCAAGCACACTCACCTATGTATATGTAGGTCGGTCTATCGACTTATATTAGACTTATATTATATGTGAGGCTTGAGGCTTAGATTCTTTCTAGAACACGGTCTATGTTCCTAAGCATTAGGCGTGCGAGGCTTTTTTTAATTCGTTATTGGCGCCGCAACGCCGCCCGACTCAGTCATTATCGGCAGAGTATTCGCATCATGTGATGATATAACATGATGGTTGCGAAGATATGTCTTTTTTGATTAAGGAGAGGATCGCTGTATGTGTAGGAAAAATAAGTCAGTTAAGAAATCGTCGTCAGCTTAAAGTTGGATCCAACACCGAAACGGATTAGAAAAAAAATACCAAGTTAGTTCCCATAGTGTATTAGTCACTGGTACTAGTTACTAGTGTTACTAAGTAGAGCTCATAGTGGCCTTATGTTCCATGCACGGACCGTTAACTCTACAATAATTTATTTAACACACACCTGTAATGATGGCTTAAAATAGAGGCTGTAAGAAAAGTGTCGAGGGTACCTCTTAATATCACGTACTTAATGTGAAGTACAAAATATTGTGCAACAAAAAGGATAATACCTTGTAATATCAAAACATTTATGACAGTAAAAGAGGAGCTTCTCGTGTAAACTACCCTGTGTGCATTAGTAGGTACATTTCAGCTCAACAAGACCACTCCCCGCGTCCGCTGCTATCCACCGAAAACTACGTACCTATGTACTAAGTATTGTATCAGTAATCAAATAATATTTTACAGTTTGTGTGTTCGTGTGACGTTGGGGTTTATACCTTTTTAAGAATGGTGGCTTTTTAAATATTGCCTTTCATAGTTGAGGTAAGAGGCGTAATTGGACGCTCGGAGATGTAGAGATCCGGATATCTGGGAACCCGCTTAGTATTTTCCGTCTTGCTAGCTAAAATCGTTGAAGGTGATATCGGCGCCGGCAAAAGCCCCCCACGTCCACTTGGACCCTTTTCACATATCACATCAAACTACTAATTAAGCGTGTCAACTACAAGTTTCCAATTTACTCATCACATCATAGTTACAGGGCCAAAATCATTAACGAAATCTACTAATAACGGAACGTATTAATCAGAGAAGACTAATGCCTTAGTCGGATCTTGTAATACAGACCTAACGGTGAGTCGCGGAAAGACCATCAGCTCGGCTGGCGGTGAACCACACACGGAGAGGCGGTTAATGAAATGCTCCGTAGTGAATTCCACCTGGATAGCGGTCTGATGAAAATTGTGTGAGTGGGCAATAATATCCATTCCTTGTATGCAGCCTTATCCCTTGTCCCTTGTTAAATCCGAAAGCCTCCTATAATTTAACCCCAATTCTTTCATTTCGTATAACTAACTAGTTAGTTATACATAGTAGTTAGTTAAATAGCTTCTCGGAGATATCGTATCAAACCGCTTCTCGCTACTACCTCCCTAATCTTTAAACTTGGGTAGCATTCCCTCCAGTTAATATGCATAATGCTATAGCCCTATGTGTGAATTTGTAGCCGGGCAAAAGTTCTCTAACCCTAGTTCCATGGTGAGATTGAAGAAAACCAATCAATCTTCATGGACCGGGGTGGATCTACCGCAACCAGCCAGCTGGGAACTAGGTCGACAAGGACCCATGCTTACCAGGATGGATATGTACTTGGTGTACAGCCGCTCACCTAACTCTGGATCGTTCCCGTTGAGATTAAAGCGGGAACACTTGCGTACCTGGTTATCCTCACTTCTATTCAACCGAGATGCTTGTCGTTTCGTAAATTGTTCATGTATGAAGTCTTAGCCTCGCTTCTTCAAACTGTTTTATAGTCCCAACTCTTTTTTATGATTTGTGGATAATTAGTCCAAGCTGTAACCCTACTTGTCAGGCTCTCTAATAGCTACCAAGAAATTGATATATCACTTATCCCTTGATTAAAAATACGTTATCCCCTTGTCAATTTACGTCCACAACTTGAAACGTTCGAGAGATCACTCGTCGGCCGACAAATCCCAATCAATTCCGCTCGCCCCTTGTAAAGTGTAGCAAGCTGAGATTTCTGCACCATCCCGAGAGATTCGGTGCTCTATCCTTCGAGGCCTGGATCGTGGCTTGCTTGTCCGGGTGCGAACGTGTTGTAGCCTTGCCTTGCCCAACGGGACCGAATCCGGGGTAGGTATCAGGAGTTTCCGGAGATTCCCAGTGATCGCCAGGCAGTGACCCACGTGGCTTGCATCGAACCACTACTACGGAATGGATGGCATGTACATAAGTTAAAATATTAGGGGAATCACACGATGCCAGTTCTCCGAGCCCGGGCAGAGGTCACGCTACCAGGCTGAATGTTTAACAGGTCCAGCACGTAGGAGAGTTAGTAACATGCGAACAGTGAAGCTGACGAGACGGAGAGATGATCACATATAATACGAGGCGGTGGAGGAGCGACCATGAAATTGATTGATTCTTGGCGCACGCTGTGAGACATGAACTAAACCAACTCCCGACTCTGGAACAGACGTTATGAGGAACCCGACAATTTAATTACGTCGTACATACGGACGATTATCACGGATAGAATTGTTCTACTTCGATAGTGTTGCCTTTCTCGTCATTGTGTCCTAGGACAATGTTGTACAATCTAACCAAAACATTTCACCTTGTGGAAAGCATCTAGGAAGCTTATAGCATGCATGCGCTCATGTGTACCGCTTTAGATGATGACGATGACGATGTGAACATCTTAGGAGAATTTACTAGCCAAGATGACAACATATCGTAGTAAATAATTCAACTTAGAACCAAATGTAGAATTAACTACTGCTGTAATCTTATGATGTGATCTGAGGAGGTATGTAGTACACGAGGTATTCGTTAACTAGCACCAAGGATTAGAACGGTTGGTTCCCTCATAATCAACTGCTATCTAGGTACGTATAAATACCTACTACCCATACGCTTTAGTTAATCCTTGATAAACATAACGGTTTTTGTGTTGCCTACTAGTGTAAAGCAGGAGGGCCGATAATATTTCGAAGCGGTAGGGCCGTGAATTGTGTAACTGTCAGCTAGGGTAGACGTAAGGCACAAGGATTATGATATTAAAATTGAAAAGTATTAAGTAAACTAAATGGATAACTAGCACCAATAAGAGCATGCCCATCTTTCGGTTTGATTAGTTTCTAACCTAGTAAGATCTGTAATCCTTGCTCGTTGGAGTACAATCGATCTCTACGACCCTACACAGTACAATACATACAAGGGGTTGTTCCTAACTTCTCGAAATTCCATGTGTTAACATCCTCGTCCCCTGCTCGCTCTCTTCTCACGCATCAGCTGGATAGATGTTGCCGCCTCTCTTCTCCTTGCCTATTATGTATATTGGAATACTTCTTAATTAATTTGGTTCCTGAAGGCGTACGCCCCCATACGCCCCCGTACGTCATTAGCTTGTATTATTGTGCGTACGAAATATGAATTCGGCCTTACGACTGGTTAAGCCCAGTGTAAAAGCGATGCAACTTTGAACGGCTACTCCCGCCTCCGACAGAAGACCAACCGCGTAACCTTTCAACGCCCAGACGGAGGAGGGCAAGCTAATAGATCTACTAGATGGGAGAGTACCACGTATTGAAAACTGGAGAATATCGCGTGTCCTTAACAACTTCCTCCGCTGCTATGACCCTTATACATGGTGGATTATCCAGTAGGAAGCCCGTTTGTTCAGTCGTTGTGTACGACTCTGAGACCCCCATTTGCTCGGTTGGTACGTAAGATGTTTACGCAGTTACACAGTGAAGGGGACAACTTGAGCAGATCTACATAATATTCTGTCATATTTACCTAGCAGATGGTGGCACTTGAGAGACCAGGGCTATCCATCAAGCTGGAACAAGCCATATTAGACTGGCTACTGTACAAAGACAGGATAGCAATTTATGTGTACGAACAACTATGACTCGATCAATTAAGCTAGGGTCAAGGGGCTGGGGGGGAGGGGGTGGTGTATTCCTAGCGGAATTGCCTCGGGCAGGAAATTCCAGCTACAAGGGGGAGGCCCGGTCTCCGCTCCTTGAACATAGGGTTTTCATCTTCTCTATTGGGATTTCCATAGCTCTTTTCGATTCCGCCCTCTCGTGCCTCTACTTGAGGTACATCTCCGGTCATCATAGTACCATCTAGAACCCCCCCTCCCCCTAGGCCAACCCCCCTGTCTTTCCTGGCTATGGATTGGATGCCACACTACGTGGGGAGCCAAACAAAATCATCTCTGGCTCTGCGGGCTAGCTGAGTTTCGAGAATCATATATGGCTAATTGCATGGGCGACGTGTCGCTCTAAACATTAACATTACATAGGTATTGTACACCTATCGTCTAGGCTGTCAAGGTGGATGCTGCCGCAGGGCGTCCCCGCTGTTAGAAGGCGTTGTCTATCACTGGCGGGTATCGAAGTTAGTATTCATCCGGCTTGGTTTGTATACGGGCGTATACAGGTGTATACATACCTCGTAGAAGCCCTAGGTTAGGTAGGTATACACACATATACGTATATCCCCTGCGTTGAATGGGCAAGAAATCCTGCGGGTAGTTCCCCCCGTACTACTTGATTCGGCCGGCATTAGGATTTCCACCGCTTATCTCTAATCGTGTGCATGCATTGTGAATGGTGAATGTGTCTTTCGTCGAGCTACTTGCTCCTAATGTGCAGATTCGGCGATCTGCCACTTGCCTTGGTGGCTATCTGACGGACAGGTCTTTTCCCCCCTTTGGTAACCCTCTCCTCTTTCTATTAGCACATTAGTATACATAGTACTACTGTGTAGAAAGGAACCAGGCTGGCTCAATCTCAGGTATCCTAGTTTATGTTTCTAAGCCCAGGGAGTATGATTTACTAGGGTGGGGTTGTTTTTGATATGAGGCAAGAGATGGTGTACTCCACTAGCCCGTCTCTGATATTTAACCACTTACATCGTATTTAGCTTCTATTGCGAGGAGTCTAAGCTTCTCCGCGTCTCTTGGCGGTCCCAAGATCTGATCTCCGAGTTGGCGTCCCCAACCCGTTGGCTCTCCAAGATCGGCTCCTAGTTGCACATCACTAAACCCGCTCTTCGAAGAGATATATACTTCACGAAGACCCAAGATCTGGATCCCCCCTTCTGGACTTTGGTGGTACCATCGTAGACCTGCTCGGTCGAACCTCGAACCGCTTCATTTATTTAACAAACCGTCTATTAATATTTCCGTTCCTTTACTGGTTGGCTCTCTGTTTTAAAGCATCATATTCTACAATACGTCTTATCATCACAGCTTCGAAGCCTAAACATCAGACGTGGTTAATAGACAAAGCTCTATTCTCAACACTACGATCTAGCAAACAATTTCTAGCCTGGTACTACAGTGAATTTGGCTGACCGGTTTTGCTTGTTGCAAAACTAGTCCCTCTAACCGTCAAACTGGCTCTTACCGCTCAAACACCGGACCCCAATACTTGGGCGCGGTGGGTTCCTCAACAGCAAAATGCAGATTACCCGATGGTCGACCCGTCAAGCTTCATGGAGTATACCCAAGGCCAAACGAACACCGCGTCCATGCCCCGATCGTCTATGCCTACCCAGTTCATGGTAGGAAATACGTATACCGCCATAACTCCTGTTACCAGCCCGCAGACACCGCAATATCCACCCAGCAATCACTTCACGTTCGGTCCATACACACCTCCGTCCCCTCCCATCTTCCCATCTTATAAAAACTATCAAGAGGAATGTCAGCCTCCGTGTACGATGCCAGCGGATACTGGAGGAATACCTGTTGGGTATCAACGGGGTCCATACCAAGCGCACCCGGCAGAGTCGGAAGAAAGGATTCGGATCAAGTACGAGTCACAGGTGGATATTCAGCGATCCCCCTCTCCATCTCCTCCCCTTACATCCAAGACCGTTGCCCGGAATGTCCCCGAAGATAGGGCTCGCGAGGTGGTTTTCCACAGCGAAATAGATACTATGATGAAAGCCATTCAGTTGAAGAGCGAGCCTACCAATGAATTTGACTCTGGAGTGTCTTCTTACCCTTCCCCTCCGCACCAGGACGAAGAGAAGTTCAACTTGCGCAGAAAGCCTTGTAGCCCGGAAAAGAGGAGCCCTACAATCGGCCGCGGCGGAAAGGACCGTCAGAAGCGTTATGTTTGCGATTTCAAGGGATGTGGGAAACGATGTGCCCAGAAGACTCAGCTGGAAACCCACAAACGGGCCCATACTGGAGAAAAGCCCTTTGTACGTTGTCTCAACCCGAGTTCTATTAGCACTGTCATTAATGTTGTTTTCCGTCTAGATATGCGAAGAGCCTGGGTGTGGCCTAGGGTTCAGCCAGAGAGGCAACCTGAAGGTATGGATCCCCTCAAGCAACATGATCTTAAGCCTTTTTAACAAGTGAACCAGTCACATATCCGGCAACACACTGGAGAGAAGCCATACCGGTGTGACATCTGCCAAAAGGCTTTTGCTCAGCTAGGGAACGTGAAGCCACATAGGAATACGCACTTCCAAACAAAGCCTTTTGTGTGTCTGCTTGACGGATGCCATAAGACTTTCAGCCAGCGGGGGAACTTGAAGGTATGTGAAATACGTTTGTAGCAACAACACGTGAGTGCTAACCCCCTAGTATAGACTCACCACAACGCTTATCACACAGAAACCATTAAGAGACTTACGCAGAGGTTCAAAAACATGTCCCATAGCGAAGAGCTCTCGGAAGAGGAAACAAAGATGTTCAAACACTTCGCCGAGTTATATAAGAACCTGAACAAGGGCATCAAAGGCCGAGGACTCAGAAGCAAGGACAAATGTGCCCGAAGAAGCCAGAGCTCGGTGACGCCGGGCCTTTCACAATCCTATGCTTCCCAGACTCCACCACTTGCTGAGCAGAATCACATGTATCAGCTGCGTTACGCTGCGCCAGATGGCCTCCCGTACGCCGAGAACTATAGCGACTGCGGAATGTCTAGAGACGGCCTTCCAAGTAATATGGTAGTCCCTCGCGATCAACACCCTGCTTATGGACAGTACGATATGGATCAAGCGAGTATTGCTGCTAGCGAAACCACTACCGCTTCTAGCAGTCCCAGCATTATGCACGAGGACCAGTACAGTCGTGCATTCGCTACTCACCATAGGGGATATTAGCTCACGTAGCTTCTACGGATATGGAATCATGCCTTAAACGACAAACACAACAACGCGGGCACTTCTCGAGTATCAATAATAAGAGACACGAAGGTCTAACCCATGTACCTTTCTTCCGCGCGCATATATATCGAATTCTGGGTGGTGTTCTCTTTAAATTCAAGATACCACACATTGTTAATCCAGGGGCGGCTAGCCATCTGTCTTATTCACCGTCTCTCCTTTCCCGAAAGCCCAACACAAACGTACAGGAGCAAAGAAAAAAAAATAAACAAGAGGAAAAAAAGTTAGTTGGACGTGTTATTTGACACTTGGGGTAATAATCAGGGCGCTGGCAGTTGATCGAGAAGAGACGACAAGGGACTTCCTTCTTTTCTGATCAACCGCCATTGCATGTTTCTGGCAATACAGCCGCCTTGACTCCATATTTGTATCGTCAATGCTGTTTATGCAGATAGGGCCGCATGGATTTAGCAGAAGTAGCATTTCCTTGACCATCGGTTTCTTTCGATTTCCATGCAACGATTTCTTTTTTACCTGCCCAATAGGGGGCACACTATATAATATCTCAGGTTTCATCGACGGGTTACACTCGATCTCGGCTCGGCTATCTACCCTTACATCCATCCATACTTACATCCACATCTACATCTAAACGCGGACGGCAGCGCCAGAAAGGGATATGACAAAGTGGAAGAAAACAAAAAGACACGCTACCTGGGCTTGGGTAGAAGTCGGGATGGAGGAGGGCACGAGAGCGAGAGTGAGAGAATAGATGCATAATCTGGTGGTGGGCGGTCTTAACCTTGCTTTACCAATCAGGCGGAAATACCCACGGCGGCGCATCGAGAAAAGAATGGAACGATAAAATAACAAACCCAAGGATCCGGGTTTTGGGAATAATTATTCACGTTTTGCATAAAGCCATGGGATACGCGATGGAGATACCAGATTATTTGCATCGAGGGTTACTAGACCTTCCAGGAGTGCAAACCAGGCGGAGTTCATTGGTAGGTAGGTTTGAAACCATTGCATTTTATTATTACTATTACTATTATCATTCCTGGTGAGGTACGTGGAGTGATTTCAAGTTCCGGAGGAGAGAAAAAGATATGTAGGACATCTTGCTTGATAGTGTAGTCTCAAAGTCATCATTACTAGTACTATTATTCCTCGTTGCAACTCTTCTCCTGACAATGCGGTGCGGTGCGGCGCTTACAATCCTCGGGGCTGCCCCGGTGATCTTATACATATGGCGTGGATGTAATAGCGACACGCCAGGCATTCGTAGCGATGGCTCTACATCAAGGGGCGGGGATTTGACCCCCGGCGACCTCGAAATGGCCGGACCGCAAGTTCCGAGCGCGTAAGAACTCCAGTGCGTTGTCTCTTTTGCCACAATGCCAGCTGTAATGTATGTGTATGTGTAGGCGTGTTAGGTTAGGTACTCGGGATGAATTTCTCATGAAGGCGGTCTGCAGGAATAGGTAGCAAAGCCATTGACGAATGAATGACGCTCCGTACCGAGAGACGACAAATGCCTCATTTGTTAAAGAATGCGGGCCACCTCGGGGGTCGAGCCAGAGCTGAGGCTCTTATCCGTGGTAAAATCATGGCTCGGCTTCCCCAACCTGGTAGGCTGATTTTAACGATTCGCTGAAATAAACAATAAACATGAATTCCCATCATGCCATCTGTATTTATCTCATGAATAATTCTGGGTCACCTGCCATACCCGTATCTGTCCGTTCCTGCAAATGGCTCCTTTGGGATCCCTGCTTGCAAATGAGCGAATGATGTGATCTGTATTATCGATTAATCGATCTCAACCGTACACCGGCTTCAAATGCGTGGAGGACCCAGCGATTCTCTTAGCTAATCGTATCTGTTTTCAAGGCGGGATCTACTATTATTCATTCCTCGACACGTCGTGTTTTTGTTATCGCCGAGTTTTAGATATGGATGGGGGTTATGTGCTATAAGTCCTGAAAAAGTGGTAGATCAACGCAAGGCAGTTGTACATGAACGGTTAGATTCAAGGGAAAATGTGATAGATCTGGTTTATTATGGCGATATGCCACGGTACCGGGTCTTTGCCTTGCGTTGTTACTAGGCAGCCAGAACACCGATCGTGGGAGGCATTGCATGAAGCCTGATATGACAACCGAGATAGCCGCAACATTCTTCTACTAACTATGCAATTCACAACAACGGCATCTGACCTGGTTGGAAGTGACTGACAGCGCTTCACAATGCATGTAGGCGGGGTAAAAGAAACGAGGCAAGTTGTTGAGAAGCTAGTCGTAGATGTCGAACCACCAATCTGAACGAAGTTGGGTTCTACCCAAGGCACCTAAGGCACCCAAGGCTGTCTATCGCCGTCTATCGCTGTCTATTTCAAGATGTGATGCAGATATGACGAATGTAACGGCCGCTTTCAGATTCCGAGTAGCGGTGTAATTCGGCGTTCGGACAGAGAGAAGCGGCGTTACCCGCCATGCAGTGTAGAGACAAATAGGATATTATCCCCTGCTTGTATTTCATAAGCCTCTTCACCTTCTAGTTCCCAGTCTGCGTCGTTGATCAGGACGAGGATACCAGGCCGGCTACGTTGACGTATTAGCTAGCTTGCCAAGTATGCGTTTTGATAAGGTGATAATGCACAAGTATGCGGCTGTTGTAGATGCTCGGGTAAAATAGGGATTGCAGCAAGGTCAAGGTAGTAACGCACAGGTGATCTTGGAGTACGAAGAGGTCCTTGCGAGCATCCTTCATCGTATATTCACATAAATGATAGATCAAATCAGCAATCGTGGCCGGGTTGCCATCTTTATTTGCAGCCGATATGGAGATGGAATGACGACGCTGATCTGAAAATAGCATCTCCAAGCCGCCTCTAAGCTATCGTCAGTATAACTATATATTAAAATACGTGGGGGACATTTACGTGAACTCAACATCGATAGATAGCTTGGGAACCTCGACTTGGACCGGAGACGTTTCCGTTGTAGTAGACATTATTGCGACTTGCCCGAAATGTGACTGAGGTTATTAGGACTATAACTACGTACTGTGGGTATTGGTGGGTGAGCCGGGTGTGAATAGCTAAATAGCTAAATATTGTATCGACTTTAAATTGTGAGTAACTATGCGCATTGCACAATGGTTTAAACGTACAATTCGCGATTTACAATTTTAGGTGTAATGCAAATAATGAATTACACTGCTAACAATATATGCATTTAAAGCGACCAATCCCAACAATAGGTAGGCAAAGTACCTATGTACCTTATAGTACGGAACTTAGTAGTAACTTGGTTACTTAAGCCTCAATGAAGTCATCATGAGTAAGTCATCTAAACCTAATTGAAGCAATTGTACAAAGTATTAGTTGGTACGGTTCTATGATTACATAATCTTACTACTCGAAAAAGGAAAGAAAAAAATAAACCCCTTCTTTCAAGATATCGAGCCATTTCTACGCGAGATCGGCATAGTGTTATAATAATGCAATAGGTTCTATCCGGGTTCACCTCTATGCCACAGAATCATGCGGGTCTTTCTCCCGCCTCCGTTGAGACCGTCGCCGGTCTTTCCGCGGGATTCATAGCCACGCTAGTCGTCCATCCGCTCGACATCGTCAAGACCCGGATGCAGAGTACGGTACCTCCCGCCCCCCGTCGTACTATGACCGCATGCTGAACCCTGCTGCATAGTCTACCAGCGCACCTCTCATCAGCCTCTCACCACCGTGTCGTTGATCCGCTCCCTGACGCGGACGCCACATCCCGTAGCATCTCTCTACCGAGGTCTCGCGCCTAACCTTCTTGGAAATGCCTCTAGTTGGGCTTCCTTTTTCTTCTTTAAGGCTCGAGCTGAGCGTGCCCTCCTAGCCTTGAAGGCTTCTCCAGATGTCTCGCTCGCACCGCGGGACTATTTCTTGTCCTCGGGGTTTGCCGGTCTCATCACCCAAGTCTTGACGAACCCCATTTGGGTAATGAAGACACGCATGCTATCATCCGACCGGACCGCCGCTGGCGCGTATCCGAGTATGCGGGCCGGCGCCGCTCACCTCTTACGCCACGAAGGCTGGAGGGGGTTTTATCGAGGCTTAGGGATCAGCTTATTAGGCGTAGCTCACGGAGCGGTGCAATTTGCCGTCTATGACCCAGTTAAAAGACTGTACTTTGCGCGTCGGGGTCCCTTCTCAGGCCACCGGGAACCGGACAGCCTAGGAAGACAGAGGATGAGTACTGAGGCGACCCTCGTGATCTCCAGCGTTGCCAAGTTAGTCGCCGGAGCAGTTACATATCCCTACCAAGTCATCCGCAGCCGTCTACAGAACTACGATGCCGATACGAGGTTTGGAAGGGGTATCAAAGGAGTCGTAACGAGAACGTGGATGGAAGAAGGATGGCGAGGTTTCTACCGTGGGATCGTACCTGGTGTGGTAAGAGTCCTCCCTGCGACCTGGGTTACGTTTCTCGTATATGAAAACGTCAAGTTCTACTTGCCCCAGTGGACAATCTAACAAGAACTGATTATGGGGTTGTATTAAAGAATCGACTTCTTTTAATGTTTATGAAGACAAAGGCTTAACCTAAGATACCCTTAATTCCACAGCCCGTATACCTTTTAACCATTAGCTTAGAGCACGTATTCACTATAAGTAAGGCCAAGGCTTAAATCAATTATTCTAATTTTATACAGGGCTAAGCGCGAGTGCACGAGAAAAAGTTATCAAGCCCCTCCAAAATTTTTGTTAATGCCAAATTCCTATAACTCCTAACCTAACTCCCCAATTATGGATCTCACATCTCATCTTACGAGTCTGCTTTGTGCTCTAGTAAGAACGTTTCTTCGATGGCAGATCTTCGCCTAAAGACTCTGAGCCACCTCTCACCCCAGCGTTTAATGATATCTTCTCCGCCGTCCGATACTACAGGGTCCATAATCTGGTCTTTGGTCCCTTGTGCCCAGCTGACCAGGGCATCTTCCATGTTCTTGAAGAGTTCGCGCATGTTGGCCACTTCTTCTTCGGTATTCTCGCTTGTGCCGCTGCTAACAACTTGTCTTAGGCGACTAGTCACTTTGACTACGGTGTTAAATACCAGCTCGAATACCCAAGACTTGCTGAGCGCTTGCCCATATGGGCCTGCGCGACTGCCAGCCAATGCCCAGTCGATAACGGCTCCAGGGGTAATAATCGAGTAATTCAGTAGCTTTTCAACGATGGTAATTGCGACACCCGGGTGGGCAGACCAGTAGGAGACGACAGCGGTAATAATTTGTGCTCTGGCCGCTTCGGAAGCGGCCCCAGAATCAAGAAGTCTATCTTTTGTACGCTCAATGCAGGCAAGTACGTGAGATAGTGACTTGGAACCTACCCAGCAAACGGCTGTCATAAAAACATCCGTGCTAGAAACGAGAGGATCGATAGCTTGATCAAGGGCAGCAGAGTGGATGCGGTCGATGATGGGCTGGATCTCCTCATCTGGAGCCTTGCGCTTGAGTAGAGCCGCGATCTCTCTACCTTCTGCAGCGAATGGAGTGTCTGGATTTAATATTAGTCGCTTGTTGGTAGTAAACGAAGGCATTTAACTTACGGTCATCGTTGAATTTGAATTCCGGCGTGTCCTGCTCTTTTTCAGGACCAATGAGGGCTTGGTAAGGTTCGGGGAGCGTGCCCTTGATCCGCTGGGCGAAACTGAGGCGGATTTCCTTGTCTAAGGCGCCCAGGATGAAAGCTTTACGGGGATCCATATCAGGGAGATTGACGTCATCTACCCATTCTATCCACTTCCACATGAAGCCGAAGTTACTGAGATGATGAGTGAACCAATCCAAGAACCTGTAGCACAACTCTAGGTCGAGACGGTGGGTATTTTGGTATGAGTACCGGATGGCTCGGCCTAAACTTGGGGCGACTGCTGCAGGGGCAATCTTGCAAGCCTCAGTAAGAACGGCATGGTAGTATACCAGCTTATGTTCTGGCGCGGGTAGTGCGAATATTTGGGAGAAGACGGCGTCCACGGCGACATCCTCTGGTTTCCACGTCGAGCGATCTCCCTCTACATCTCGGAGTCGATCAAAGGGAGTTGCACGTTTGACGAATGTGCCAGGAGCAAAATAACAATCCACGTCTATGAGAAAGCGAGCCGTAACACTACGGTTGAAGTCCATGATGTTGATCGTATCGAGAAGCCCGTCCCTGATTAGTGACGACGCGATACTACTAACGGGAGGAACAGATTCGATTTCTTGGTTAACATAGACCGAGAAGTAGATCTCGGGGAAAAGAGGGCGAGGGCCAGCGACGACTTTCTCTGGAATAGATATGCTCGGTAAGGTATGCTTCTGCGCATTATCTAGCTTCTCTTGCTGTTCGATCTCTTCAGGTGGCATTTGCCATGGTCTCGGAAGACACGAAAGCTCCCAACCATTCAGAGCCTCGGTTTGGAGCTGCTTCTGCAGGAGCCCGATTAGACTCATATTTACGGTCGGGCTCTCCGTTCCCTCCTCGACATGATATGGGTCGATTAGTACTTGTAACGCGTGCGGTTCGGAAGCAATGACGTCTGTCTTATCCATCAGCTCAGCCGCCTTTTGTTGCCACTGGATAGGCGCAGCTGCCATAATATACGGTATCGTCAGAAGGATGATCTTGACAAGTTCTGTGCCAATCGTCTTGAGGGTTCTGTTAGAATAGGTAAACCATATTGAGGTAGTAACGGTTGTATACTCACATCATCAGAACTGGCAGTCTGGAGGTCGACGGCTCGACTAAAGAGTTCTTCAAGCAAAGGGAACACGCCATCACCCTCCAAGGAGCTTTGTAGACACGCCAGGAACTTTAGATACAGCTTCACATCGCGCCACTCGCCTATGATGACCTTCTCCTCTGTAGCAGTAGCGACCCGAGTCAAAAGATCGCCTAGTATATCGGGTTTCAGCGAATTGGCGACGAGTACCACAGCTGCCACGAACGGGGTCTTGAGCGGCTGCTCAATAAGCATCTGCAGCACTAGATCCAAGAAGCTTGTGCGCAACTCCTGATCTTCGTAATTGTTGGCGAGGACATGGGCAATGGATTGAACTTCCTCGTGCCAGCGTCGCAAAGGAGATTCAGCTAGGCCTAGGAGCTGCTTACGTATGCGGACGGGAAGCGGCGCGTCGTAGCGACGTCGTTGCGGTCGGCGGTCGTAATCATCATCATCTAGATAGCTAAGTTAGTATATAGGCTCTTTAGTGACATCTCTAGAAGGGTGGTGAGAGAGGCTAGGAGCAACGATATTGGTTCGAGCTACCAGTTCGAGCTACCAGTCTAATTCCGTACCTCTGTAACGCCTTTTGCGATTGTTATAGCCGCCAGCAGGCTGTCTGCGATCATGATCTGCCATCTTATGTTGATAGAAGAAACCGACGTGATTGAAGGGTCAAATTCATAAGAAATTATCCTCAATGGGTAGGCAGGTGGTACGAGTTGAAACTTGATGTTCTATGGAATCTGGAATCTATGGAAACACGCAACGCGCGAAAAGAGAAGCACGGGCCTCTAGCTTGGTTATTTCAACTTTGGCATATCTTATCGCGATGCACCTGCCTGTTAGCTTTATCCGATTATGTAATCGTTAGACATTACAGTATACCTTAGGTACCTACCTATAAGTTACCTAACTAATAGCAGCTTTCTTTCTATTCGGCACATCGTCCTCGTAAACCCTTATCTAGGTACCTAGGTAATTGACATATAAACTAGAACTACCTAGGTAGCCAATTACAATCAGAAGGCTGGCTAATCGGCCTATTGTGATCAATTACTAATGACTTTATCTAGACATATGCCGTTGCTCTCGTACCTCTATAACTTACTATCAATAAAACGCGGTTAAGAGGCATTACGCATAGGGATCTTGTTACAATAGTGGCGGAATTCAAAGGGGGTCACGATCATCGGGTAGCTTTTTACGCATCAAGTATCGTACGAAGTGGTGCCATCTGATCTTTCTCTTGGACCAAGAGCTGTGTCTTCATCGCTGTGTGCCGCAACCGCAGTTGGCTTGTTTCCTTGACGTCTGAGTAGAAGACCCGGTCCTCCTTTTTAGTAAACCATCTTCCCACTTCTCGACGCACGTTGGAGTCCGTCTTGGGAGGGAAGAAATGAAAAAGAAATCTTTTTTGAAGTCATGCCGAGTCTCCATAAATTGTCCAGCCCCAATATGCCATTGCTGCCCTGGGCCGGAAGCTTGCCGGTTTCAACATCATGTTCCACTTGTCGCCCTACCACCATTTCACTACCGCTGCATACACCCGCTACTCATAGAATAACACATACGCCATCTCATCCCCCTTCTTTAACTTGTGTAGAGAATATCTCGGAAGACCACGCGAGGGGAATCCAGCCTCCTTGTGGTCGCCTACCACAAGGATGAAGCGAGTTATTGAACAAGACAAATAAAAGCAAATGCCGTCTCGGTCATGCATAGGAGAAGTCTAAGAACGTCCGGTGCGTGCCATCTTCCAGTCAGTGCGCCTGATACTGAAGCAGTTGTCCCTTGTTGCTACAACCGAGATACTAGAACCGAGTATGTGGATGTTCTCAAAGGCTTATTGACACCTCGGAAACTTCCACAGCACACCAAACTTCTGGAGAACCCATTCCTCCTAACTCATACGTTGGATTGTCCTCCCTTAATGCACACCAAGGTCGAGGAATTGCTATTGTCAATCCGGCGGGTTCAATTAAACGTCGGTCCGACGAGTTCAAGCCATTACAGGCTCAGCTAGTGAGTGAATGCTGTAGCGAAATCCCGGGCGACGATGCATACATACGTGAAATGAGAGCGTAAGCGGCGACCGTAATTCAGTCTAACTTGGCCATCATTTCTGCCTTTGGCATGGGCGTGAAATTATCTATATCGAGACCGCGGGACGCTAAGATAGACTTCATATGAGGAGGGACGAGCTTCTGGTTTAGCTGCGGTGCGATGGATAATTCTACCAAATGCAATTAGTCCTGTAATAGAAAGGAGCGAAGAGCCAGACTAAGCTTACCATGTCTTGAAAAGTCAAACAGATTTGGCAAATCCCTTAATTGACCGCTCGAGTGCCGGGAATCCGGGAGTTTCGTGCTAGGATCTCGAAGCTCATCAAAGAAAGGATGCACCATAGCGTCGATAGCACCCAGACGTTCCGTCGGTGTGTATTCCAGCAACCTCGCTATCAAGTCTAGAGCATTTGCGTCTGCCTTACGGAACACCTTACTGAACGGATGAGGCTTGATCTGCGGGAATTTATGCTCCATGTAGTTCGGGTTCATAGTACGAATCTGCTCGCGAGTAGGAGTTCCCAACACTTTAATAATCTCCACCAATTGATCGATGCCGGATTCGCCGGGAAAAAGGGGCTGGCCCAACATTAACTCCGCCATAACGCAACCAGTCGACCAAACATCTACAAGCGACGTAAGCTACTATGGCCAGGATTTTAGATACAGAGGGTTATATGCTTACCAATCTTGGTTGTGTAATTGGTGGCGCCGAAGATGAGCTCGGGCGCTCGGTAATATCTAGAGCAAATGTATGAAACATTAGGCTCGTTCTCAACCAAGATTTTTGCGCTTCCGAAATCGCAAAGCTTTAGTATGCCGGTGTTCGGGTCCAATAGGAGGTTCTGTGGCTTGATGTCACGGTGGCAGATTCCTTGGGAATGAATGTAGGCCAAGGCTCTGAAAAGCTGGTATATATAGAGTTTGACTTCCAGAGTCGGCATAGTCGACTTCATCTTGTTGAAGAAGCGCGAGGCTCGGTAGACAGTCTCAGGTACAAATTCCTGTACCAAATTTAGGTACACTTCGTCTTTCTGCTCATGTATCCGGTTAGCTATCTTACCTGTTATTACGTCGTAGTTTAAGTACTTACACGGTCTCCATTGGAATAATAAAAGGCTTTTAACTGCACGATATTGGGATGTCGAACGATACGCATAATTTGGAGCTCACGATTCTACAGTCGGGCATTAGCAGACGAGCGGGGTACATATCCCGCAACTTAGGAGTAAGACTGACCTTGAACCTCTTGTCTTGAAGAACACGTTTGATGGCAGCATCTTCACCCGACGGCGAAAGCTTCGTCTGGAAGACGACACCAAAAGAGCCGTTTCCGACGATTTTGCACTGCGTGTATTGCAGATCTCTTGTCTCACCAGTCACTCCATCCTGTACCTTTTCGCGGATGACCTCTGTCTTCTGTCTCAGCACCACTCAATGCGTACGATGGATAGAAAAATATTGGTAAAGCTTACCTCCCATCCGGAGAGTATTGAAAGCCGCTGTCGGGCGGTTTTGCGCCATGGTTAAGGGCGGATCGGATTCGATCGCAAAATGGCACAATCCAGGGCGTCTCTCAAGCGTCAGCACGAAGAGACGGGAGGCGGTTGACGCGCGGTTCGGGACGCCGTGTTGGGCGACAAATCAATAGACAATTGGGTCGGAGTGCTTCTCGATCGCAATTGATAGATGAAGTAGTGGGTCAATCGCTCGCTCTAATGGAAGAGGCAACGCTGAGTTGAAATGCCGGTCCAGTCCAACAATAAGTGTGGCTAGGTCCAGGACAGGTGTATGGTGTGCTGGCAGAGGATAACAAGTGCCCAACTATTCGTGCAAAGAAAATTTCCCTAAGATGCAACTATTTAGGACCTATGTGAATTCACGAAAATGGAAGGGTCTAGTATCGCGAGAGGGCGGAGGTTATGTAGGTAGGGATTCTGGCGGGGTTGCAATGGTCGAATGACGGAACGTGACTTGAAAGAAACTTTTTAAAGTGTCCACTGCAGCGAAGTACAATAGCTAAGGTCGAGCTACCTTAGGTATACCTTACTTCTAAATAAGAATAGGACTAGGCAGACTTGTAGTAGGGGAACGGGGAACGGAGACCGGGGCAGGCGAGATTTAGACGGGCACGTAAACAGGTAGGCCAGGTAGGTAAGTAGATGGGTAGACGGATAGATAAAAGTATTTCTCTGCCAGTGTAATGGTAATGGTATCGGTTTCTCTCGCAGTCCACAGTCGAACGTGGCCGGGAAGACTGTGTATACCAGTAAGAAAGTGGACTCACCTTATGTGGGATGATGGTCTGAAAAATACTCAGACTCGACCACCTCAGGTACGACTTGGTCGACTTGGCCGATTACTGCAAGCACCGCAATTAGTTGGCCGTAGGAAGATGAGGTAGGCCATCAGATTGATGAAGAGGGGAATGCTATGGATGTTGTGGATGATTGAGAAGCAGTAAAAAAAATAACTTACAAAGCTTCGCAAGTGGCGATGGGGGCGCGGGAGGACGTTGGGAAGGGGAAGAAATACGTAGAGGATGTATGTAAGGTGGTGGTAGGTAAGGTAGACAGGTAGGTTAGGTGGGAGGTGGTGAACATTGAATGTGTGGGAAATAGTTGTGTTTGAATGGCTTAAACCAGTGCGGGAGGAGGAGGGGTCGTCGCAACTAGAGGGAAGGTACAAAAGTACTTGGGTACGTCGTATCGTAAGAAGGACTTTGGACTTTGGACCTTGGACCGCCGCAGTCGGTTGTGGATACCTCATGTACAATACATACAGATATACATGCAGGCAGGTAGGTACCTTCCGTTAGCTTAGGTGCAACTTCAGTTCAATGCTGCTGGTGGGCGCGAAATAAAAGAAAAAGTCGCCGCGCAGATTTGGGGTCATTCTAGATTACGGCTTCTAGGGCAGGATGACAGGAGAGTAGAGGTACATACATGAGGTAGCCTGACGAATCAACGAACTCACCTAGAGTAATAAACGTTATTAGTCTATGTAGGTACCCTATGATTAGGCGGGCCTAGCTACGTCTTAATACGTCTTAATAGCAAACCACCTCTACATGTAGGTAGTGTGTACCTACCTACGCATGTTATGTACCCTAGGTACGCAGTAAGATACAGGTACATGGCTCACCTACCTAAACATCCATACTTTTGCTTCTACCTATACCTACATCGTGTTGATTATTGCCAATTACCGCCTGCGACTAATATGTAGGGCATCAGTATTAGGACGGAGACAGGTACCTAACCTAATAAACCATCGACCCAAGTAAACCTAAGATGCTAAATTCAACATGCTTCGCCGTATGCAATATTACCACGCTTATGAGGCCTTTATAAGAAAATCTCATACGCAGTGGTTTCTATATCTAATTGAAAAGTCGTGAATCACTTATTTCTGGTTGAGGAATAACACTTGTACATACACAAGCACACACACCATACATACATACATACATACATACATACATACATACATACATACATACACATATATACACATACACACATCTGCCCTTATCGACTTTTGCCAGGGTAACGTATGTATGTGCTGCCGCCGTATGCACAACACGGGCTCTCCTGTAATAGCCTCGAACACACTGAGCTACTACTTGTCAAGAAGATAGCCGCAGGTCTTGATTCACCACATTTCAAATGCTGACCGGATTCCACCGACTTGCTACCCTTGTGTGAGGTTCAATGCGTTTGTACCAGCCCAATTCTACTATGCTGTGAGACGAGTATGGAGCTCTCGAAGTTTCCCTTCCCACTTCCTATGTAAGAGCCTGCTTTGTCGTCGCCGCTCGACTAATACGTCGTAAATGGCCAAATGACCCGACAGCGGTAAAGAAAGAACCAAGATTTCTTTGCGAACTTCTCTACATGTCAAAGCCTAGAAGGCCAGTCTCTTTTCACCTAACTACCTACAACCTGGACTGCCTAGTTGCTATTTTCCAGAACTAACCATTATTCAATCCTTGGCAGACTCACACCTGCGGCGTGTACGTATGCAAGAAGTCAGGGGTTAGAAAATTGGGGCTTGCTCATGTGGTCTGCTCAGACTTAAGGCGGACAGTTAGGGCGCTAAACAAGACTCGGCAACCGAAGTCGAGGGGAAAAAAAAGGAGACTGAATTATCGATTCTGCAGGGTCAAAGACGGGGTCCCTGAACGTTCAACCAGCCAGCACCGTCTTAATAGTACATACATGGCTTCTATGGCTTCTACAGCCTACATAATGTCCACCAAGAGGGACCGGCGATCTAGATAACTGGCTAGTATTTTGTCACATGATGTTATTAGTTTCCTTTTTTTTTCTTTTTTCCTCATCTCTCTCCTTACATTATGAACCATAACAACCGAAATATGAGGTAGGCTGGTACCGGTTAAGCGTGTCGATACTTACCTACGGATCACGTCTTGTAAGATGCAAGTACTTAAATGCAAGTATACATGCTGAGTTTGTGCTCTTTCCCAATGTCGAATATCTATAGCCTTCAATAGGAAAGAGGTACTTGATTATCAATTCTCAAAATGCTATGCGATGTGTCATCAAGCGCAGTTATCCTATCCTTAGACCATTGAACAACCGCCGCCGATGTAGCACATAACCTACCTTTTATTTGTGCAACTGGGCGTTGAAGTTACAGACTCACTCAAGTCGCACCATGACGAAGGGTACTGCAAATTGACATCTTCAACAAGACTCGGAAATATATGAGAGTCACTGCACTTCTTTCCTAACGCACGAAATCATCTTAACTGCCTACCTACTCATCATACATAATTATATGTTATAAGGTGGTGGTGGTCTTATGTTACTTTGTAAAGATATTCCCCTGCTCACGACCCCTCGTCCTCCTTTTTAATTCTCCTGGGTCTCCCACACATTCCTTGGTTTCCCAGCTTTTGAATTCCTACTGCCCCGCACTTGGACTATCTTGGGATGCTTCCACGAATCCACGCAGAACCCCATACCCACATCTTAGGTACCTGAGTACCTAACCTAACCGAAAATTCTGGTTTGTCTTTCTTTACTTTCCTCGTATGGGCAGAATGTGAATCCAATTCAACTCTCGTTATGGCATTGGAATACCTAATTAGATTTACGATGCCTCCCGGCCAAAACCTACAGGGAATTGACATGGCCTGAACATAGCAAAGTCGTCTGCTGCAAGCAGTGTCGACTTACATATTAACAAGCTCGTTGGACGAATGAAAAGATCCCTGCTCGCACAGCCCAATACATCATGAGACTTTTTGCTGCGAGACAACGTCAGAACCTAGGAGCTCTATGTATTCTGCTTTTACATACTAGTGCCGGCCAATTGATCCGTCCGCTCCACCTGCATCGTGCTGTTGGCATATACGGTCTATCGTTTACTATTAAGCTTCCCCCTAGCTTCACGATCCAAGCTTCCCGCCAGTGGCTGGTGAACAATTGGTCATAGCAGCGATAGGTTTTGAAAAAAGAAAGAAAGAAAGAAAGAAAAAGTCGGATGCATTCAATGCCCATAGCTCACAGCCCACAGCCCACCAGCTGGTGATGGGTGCCGCCAGGAACAAGACCAACCAACCGCATGGACTGGTCGAACTGGCCTGCAACGCACATGTCGCACTTAGCATCAGTACGTACATACATATACTACATCTCCATATCTACATCCCCAGTGGGGAAGTGGGCATCAGTGTGGACATGCAAGAAGACACACGACAAGGCGTGGTCCGTAGATTCCAGGGCCAGGGTGGGTTCCTACTCTGGATACCCTTACAATGAGAGGTCATGAGACCTTCAATTCGGAGCTAACCACAAACTTTGAAATTTAAGTTGTGCGGAAAACTCCTCCGTCTCCTGGAGGTAGCCGACGGGCGAGTCAATCAACAATCGGCGTCATAGGTACCCTATGTATTCTAACCCTAGACCCGTCTAACCTAGTCCCTTGTCTTTCCTTGTCGTCCTTTGTCCTGGCACGACTCCTGCTACCAATTAACGCTCGTCACACACCCCTTACCCAGCTGCAAGTCACCAAGACTATCGTCCGCAGGAATACACTGCGTAGGAAATATCAGCTTCGATATTCCTTACCACGATATTCCGTGTTCATAAACCAGGTATATTGCCGGGGAGCCTCAGACGGGTTGGCGGTTTTAGATACAAGCCCGATGCTGGTGTCAAGTTGAGGCGAATTTGGCTGTAACACCTGCACGATCATCTATTACCCGAGGCCTAGATCCATCTACTGATCCCATCGTCATAATTATTATTGTTATTATTATTATTATAAGCCCCATCCTAAGGTTCTAGTGCCCCTAGTAAGCACATCCCGCAATCTGTGTTAGGTATGTATACAGATGAAAAAAAAAAAAAAAAAAAAAAACAGATAAACAGGTAACAAGAGAAGATATTACATACAATAGACTTTGAACCTCAACCATCCATGCCCTCATCCGCAGAGAAATGGGACTAGAATAGTATCCACATGCAGCGGCTTCTACGCCACCGCTCCAACCTTTTTGTGACTGATCACGGGCGGGTTGCAGAAATCCAATAAGCATGAAGAGTCGAGAGCCTCCTTCATTGAAAAGTTAGCTTGCTACAAAATTAATATACCACGTGAACAAACTCACGGTCGTAAAGCCTTAGCGCCAAGACCGAATGCAGCTCCTTGACCTCTATTTTAGGATGATCTACCCGATAGGAATTCGCAGATTGACGGCGTCCATAGAAAACGTTCAGCCCGAGCGAACACATGGTCTTTGTGTCTGGGTTGCTCCCCTATGCCGCCGCGTTAAGCCTTATTAAGAAGATCATGCAATACTTAGACCTTGGATCTACCATTCAAGGCGATCGAAGCAGCATGTGACCGACTCTGCAGAAAACACGGTCCCAACTACGGGTACCTAGGACACTCCGA